AATTTGGCCAAAATCACGATTTTAAGGGAATTTATAACCTAAATATAAAAGTGCCTGTGAATTAAAATAACTGCATAGATGGCTCTATATATCATGTCATATGTATGTCTTTAATCGCATCGGAAACTCGCTTTCCTGTGCTGTAAACATTTCTAAGGGTGCACGACAAGGGCAAGGCAAAATATTACTTATCCGCCTAATTAAGCTCCAACAAAGCGAACACTTCATTATATATTTCCTGCACTCCGGCTGGCAGAGATTGGAGATGGATGTGGAGTGGTGATGGGAGCGGCGGGGCGGGGCGGGTAGATTTCCTGGCGAAGAAAAGAAAACGTAACCTTAATGTAATGTGAATTACGCTAAATTTATTAGGCAACAATGAGTTAGCAGAGCGCGGGGGCAAACGGAAACGGAAACCCAGGCAAACCGAAAAGCGGAGGGGAAAAGTCTCACGAAACCACGCACACACACGCACACACACGCACACACAAGCACACATGAGGCTGAGCCTAATCGTCATCGTTAACTCCGACTTCAGGACCTCTTCACCCTGGATTTTCCAACCAGTCGTTACCAATTTCGTCGCTCGTTTCGTATTTTCTCTCCTAGTTTCGTTTCCTTTTTGCGTGCTGGCCGCGTTTTGTATAGGAAACTCGATAATTTCCACCAATTTCCTTTCGCTGCATATGCGTGTGTATGTGTGTGTGTGTGTGTGAGTGAGTGAGTGTTAGCCCCGTTAGCTGGCAAAGTATGCGTGTCCATGCGAAGCTCATAAACTCTGTGTCGGCAATGAGTATGTTAATTTGGTTAGAGGTGAGAACGCAGGTGAGAAATAATTTCGGGGCGTGGCATCGGCTAAATGCCAATGGCAACAACACATCTCTTTTGTGTGCGTGATCGCCCACAGGCCAAAAACAACAAGGATAACGCAAAAAAAGGAACAAAATAAAAAACAAAGAACTAGTAGACAGATAAAATTGGTGCCAACATGGGGTTGGGCTACCAATCGAAATTACTTAACCAAGTACTTCAGAACAAAAGTTTGCCGCAAAAGACACAAAATTACACTCTTGCAAACAACTTTCCAGCCCGTTAATTCCACTGTTTGTAAACTTAGTTGACAAATATGTACTTAAATGCCAATTTATCAGGAGTATACGTTTGTGCAGTTGATTTTCGCAACGTACTTAAAAGTAGAACAGCACACATGGGTCACTCAAATGTTAGTTATGGAAATGGTTCAATGAAGATATTCGAAGTATTTTCGATTTATTAAATGTATTATTGAGCAACAAATCAACAACATATTTGCATCTATTTTGCCATGTTTTCCATTTCGATTGCAGGGTTACTATGTTCATTTGCCTCGAAGCTAATTTTATTTAGTGGCCACAATATTTGATTGCATAGATTTTAAAATTTGATTATGGTTTGTTTAAGCACACATGAATTTTGGCCATTTCCATCGATTTAATTGAATTCCACGGCTGGCGAATAATATGTTTTCGGTATTGTTGAAATTCCATCAACGTTTTATAAGTTATCCTATTCATAACATTCCGCATTTGAAATTCCGTGTAAATAGAATTTCTCTGCTATTTTATTCTTCGATGGCTTTTCATTTCACTCCACTTCACCAAATGCGTTTCTCGTTTAATTTATGCCCGATGGTCTCGCAATTGTGTGGCACCCAAAAGAGCTTATTTCCTTGCCCCAGAACTTGCAACAATTTCAAGTTAAATGACTTCCTTTGGGGCATTCATTTAATCTGCTCCTTACCGTTTTATTTTTTCTTGGGGCTTTCCTCCTACCGTTTCGCTTTTCAACTTAATTAAGAAATCCAATTAACATCATTGACATTAGATGTCCTAGAATATGCGCAATTTGTTTTGTTTTTATATATACATATATATATATGTATATTGTTTCTTTTTTTTATGCCGCTGCTGTTTTCCCGAGCACATGGCACACACACACAAGTTCACGCATCTGCCGAAAAATAGATTTTCCCTCCTTTTCCGCTGCCCTTTTTGCATATGTATGTGTGGACGGGCGAAAAGCAGTACCTCGCTGGCCACCCCCGAAAATCCACACCCTTTGCTGACAAGTAGGCGTTGATGTTGATGTTGACGTTGGTCTCGTGTGTGTCCATGTCCATGCCCCCAGAAAACCAGAAAACCAGAAAACGGCCCACCGCCCATCGCCACCCACTCATTGCGTGTGTCTCGAAATTGTGCGTGTGTGCCTTTTATTTTTTTTTTGTTTTTTTGGAGGGGTGGCTGGTGGGAGCTGGGATTTGGGGACCGAGAAAGTGGGTGGCTGGCCGGCCAGCACGCAACAAACAAACGATAACAAACAATTGTGGCAACGACAATCGGATCGGATACTCAGTGTCTACATAGCATTCATTCCCCCGTTCCTTGCCACATTCTCCGTTTGTGTCTCCCTGATTTTGGTTGCGAATGTGTCGGATAAATGCTGATTGTAAAGGCTGGGAATCGTGTTTTGAGTCGTGTTTACTGCCAAGAATTAGGCAATGTCCTTGAAGGGGCTCAAGGAATTTCCAGTGCCTCTCAGCTGCGGCACACATAATCTGTTATTCATGTTGGGCCTATGCTAGGAATATATTAACATTAATAAAAACTATGGCCCCAATAAGTATGCTTTCGTTTTGATTGCCTTTCTTGAGCACTGAGTAAACAAGTACAACTAGCCATCCTATGGAAAACCAACACTTACGAGTATGTGCCGCATTAGTAGATCCTTATTTGTACAGCTCGTAACCTTTGACAGTCACTCAATCGAAACAGAACGCTTAGATTTGCACACACCGATTTGTCGTTTTACTCAATTATGACAGCATTGCCGGGGTCAAAGGGCAGCCCATTCACGCCCACAAATCTGTCAAATTATCCACATGATCGCCCACTGTATTTCGCTGTCGACCAGTCCCCAGGAAATCCCAGTCAAGTCGGACAACTTTGACTCATCTCCCTTCAGCTGGCTTAAACAGTGACACAAGTAACACAACTGCACGAGGAGCCCGAGCCACATTCAAGCAAATCTACTTAGCATAAACCAATTCTCACACACACACGCAGGCCCGCATGCACGCACACATACGAAGAGGGAGAGAGAGAGAGAGAGAGATAGGGAAGAAGAGAGGGATGGAGGCAGGGTGCTTTCATTATAGGGGAGTGGCTGGCTGGCTTTCACCGAGCAGCTGACAAACTGCGAAAGCCAAAAACTGATTATGGCTTTAGCCATTCAAAGCGACAGCACTCTGCACTTGCAAATAGACAAATTTATATGTATGTGTGGGAGAAGGCACAGGGAGAACACAAGGCGAAAGACAGAAAATTACAAAATATGACTATCAAATAGACAAATTTATATGTGTGCGGTCTAATGGAGAACAGAAAACATACGGCCATTCCCTCGGCAAAGAATATAAAATTCTAAAATATGACTTCAATTCACACTTCACGCAAAAGTACATTTCTTTTCAGTGCATCGGGATTGAGATAATTGCGAAATAATCGAGAGCGGACTGCACACAGTTCAATTCGCTGCGAAAATTGAGAAATATTCAGAAAATGAAAATTAAATATAAGTATATGCACTTGATACTCAGCTCTCTTTGCTTTCATGAACAGACGCGTTTCTTCAGCATTTGTGCAAATTTTTTGTGTGTTTTTCGTTTCGTTTCTTTTCCCCTTTTTCTCCCAAGATCCCGTAAGTGAAGTACAAGCTAAGCTGGAGCCTTGTCGCCCAGTCACGTAGTCTTTTTTCCCACAGTGTAGGTGGGACTGAGCTGTTCTCTATAAACAAATATTTGGATTTAGCAACTGAGTGAGCTTAAATTCAAGTAGAAAAATAAAACGAAAAAAATGAAATAAGCCAGGGAGAAAAGGAATTTTGTTTCCGAGCTGAAATTTTAGGCAGTCCTGCGGCTCCCCCTCTCCCTCTCCCTCTCTCACTCTCTCTCTCTCTTTCTCTTTCCCAGTCGACTTGTGTGTGAGTGTGTGCCTAGTTTACGACTTTTACTACTTTCTTTCAACTTTCTCTCTGTCTCTTTCGGGCCCGCACAGCATATGCAAAACCGCACCCATATTGGAGGGCAAGTGGAAAAGCAGATTACTTATCTTTTAGTTTTCATTTAAATATGAAGACCAAATTGTACACACACGCCGCTTTTTCCTTTTCACTTTTCTCGCCCATTAGAGGGCCATGCATACATCTACACACAGCTTTATACTGTATGTCTGTATGTATATAGAAAGGGAAACATGAAGTGGAGCTCCTTGGGTTTTTGTTTTCACGCAAAACTCTATCTTTTAGCCAGATACAGATAGAGCAAAAAGCAAGTGGATTTTCTTTTTATTTCCCAACCGCCCTTTCAAATCCGGGCTACATCCCGTGCTTTTTTCGTCTAATTTTGGTTAGACGAAAATAATTGGATTTACACCGAATCAAGAGTCTAGATGGAGGCCAGGGAAAGAGATAGTCATGTGGCATGTGATGATGTCGTCATTCCGGAGGATAAAGAACGTTTTTCCAGGAAGATGAGTCTGTTTCTTTTCCCCGCCGACTGTGGACTGTTTGGGGGAAACCAAGTTGGAGATATTCATAAGTGTAATTTGTGTATTCCATGGGTAAGACAATGGGGGGATTTTCATTTTTAAATGAAAACCATAAAGAGAACTACAGAGTTTTTGAAATGAAAGCCATAAAGAAAGCTATGTGGGCAAGCCTTTTATGACTAACTTAAATATGAAATGCTCAAAATGAAATGCATAAAGCGTACATTTAAATAAGTTGCAAAATACGTACTGATGGTAAAGTATATGAATTCGATTTGATTTGCATAGCTATTCACCAAATGCTAGTTGCTTAAGCACTCAAGCACTCAGTCCACAAACAAACACCGTTTGATTATTTATTGAAACTCAATAAACTCCATTGATAATGGTCTAATAGCTGAAATATATACATTTTAGCTCCGCAAACCGGCGTCGACACTCTCAATTCCTGGCTCGATGAAAACACCTTCCATTGCGAACCGGGAACAGATCTCATCTGGATGCAACGAAGAAGCGGCCGAGGCACTAGTGGGTATCCACTCAGACTACCCTAGGTATGAAATGTATGTATACCCCGATCCGAATCGCCAGTAGAGTATGTATCCACAGCAGTGTACATTCATTAGCATATAGCCCCCACCCCGCCCATTCAAAGCAGCTCCAACTCCATCTAGAGTCCGTATCCAAACTGATTTGTTGCACCCACGCCCAAGAAAATCCGTTGTATAAAAACCATAAATTAGTCCCCAGACATGCAAATAATAATAATAAATAATGCATAGGTGCTATGAATTAGATACTTGGAACTAGGATTAGAATGCTTGTACTGAAAGTGCAATTTGATGTGCCATTTTCGCTCAGTGTGCAACTTAGAGAAGGTGCAGTGCCCAGTAGGGAAAGCCAATGAGTGGTCAAACGATAACCGCAACTGTGCGCAAATCATTGACTGATGTATGACCCGGGGACAGTAATTAGCTGTCAATGGCAGGACAGGAGAAGTGAACCCGGGAACGATGATTTGGCTAGGGCAAAAATGGAAATGGGGCAAATGTTCGGGTAATATTCATTGGGGAGTGCTTGAGAGGAGAGAAGAGTCCATGCGATTCAATTTGAGCACTCTAAAGTGAATTCCGCTCACGAATGGATTCTGGGATTGTCCTGCTCTTCTGGGGTCCACATAAATCTCTATGAATGTCGTGGATGGCAAGATATTTTCCTGCAATCACGTTGGCAATTTGGCACAGTTCAGCAGTTTATAGAGGGGGCCAACAAAAAGACGGGGGATTGAATATATGGCTATGGCTATGACTATGACAACGACTGCGATTGTGAATGTGAATGTGAATGTGGCTATATGGGCATCGAAAACGAGGACAGCCAGCTGTGTGTATGTTTTCATTTGTCAGCAAAATTTTTATTGGCCATCTTTGGCTCATCGAAAGAGCTGGTGCTTAACCCCCTCCTACCCCCCCGCACTGTCCTCTTTGTCGTCGGTGGCTGTGTATCTATAAGATACAAATTGATATGACACATTTAGAAAAGCCGGAGCAAAGCGAAAACACACAAATCTGTCATTCAGGCTGCAAGATTTATTAAGGTGCCGACTAGAGTTGAACGGAGCTGAGTTGGATCCGCTCGAGTTGAGTTCCGTTGAGTAGAGTTGAGTTGGGTTGACTTAACCCCCAGATTCCCCGATTCCCCGATCCCCCGATAACCCCACGTGAAATCTCGACACTGCCATCCCCCCTCCTCCGGCCACTCAAGCATTAGTCAGCGATCTGTGGAAAGCACTCAGGGGGGTGAAAGCCTGTGAAAATTAGTGCCAAAATGGATCAGGACCTTGCAGCAAATCCCTTTGTTACGTTTTTATTTATTTAGCACGGCATTAGGGGTATTTTATTCAAGGGAAACAAAAACTAATCACAAATAGGACGGGCTTAAGGGAAATTATGATAAAGCACGCTGAAAAATGCGGTTAGATTAACGATAATAATAATTAGTTCCTGCCTAATCAGCGATATTGTTTTGCCATCTCAAAATTAGCTCAAAATAGCATATTCCCTTCTTAAAATGTTATGTAAATTACATTGAACGCATGCCAATTAGAAAACAAGGCTCATTGGTAGACTGAAAATAAATAAATGGACCATCACAAGTAGCTTTTGATTTCAATCCCTAAATAGCAACATTCATGACATGGAATTAAAACAGCTTAACTGAACACATCCAGACATTCCATAGGCACATATAATGAAAGGTAAATGTTGGAAAACAATGAAAAATCACTGCATCAAAGCAAATAAACAAGGTGTGAAAATGCAGTCAAAGCATCAAAATGAGATTAAATCAAAACAATAAATAACTTAATGGAAATATAGTGGCTTATGTAATATTTATACAAATCGAACTACATCAATTTAGACAATCTTTCTCACAACACGACCATCCATCCACATGGAATAGAATTGGTTGATACTATAATTACATCGCCAACACGTCCTTTAATTAAAGTAGCTAAACATCGATTTATTGGTAGTGGACTATGTAGCACAACAGAATGGATTTCCCTGAGTGGGAGTGTCAAGGGAGAGAGTTGAAGGGGAAGGGGAGTGTGTTAGTGAGTGTGGGCTCTGGAGCACCCATTGTCCATCTGACTGAACTTGAATAACCCCACAGGTATATGGAAGAACGTGCTCTTACTGGCGGCAATACGTCCAGGAAGCCATCAACAAACTCGGCCAAACACAAACCCAATGTGGGCTATCGCCTGGGAAAGAGGAAAGCCCTCTTCGAGAAGCGCAAACGGATCAGCGATTACGCCCTGGTCATGGGCATGTTCGGGATCATCGTGATGGTTATCGAAAACGAACTGAGCAGTGCCGGTGTCTACACAAAGGTGAGAGTCCCCCATTTTTAACTTCCCACACATAAGTATTTAAGCCATCTACATATATGCTATAAAACTGGAATGAACGGCTCCCAAGACTAATCGGTTGAATGCATTTCTCTATTTCCCTTTTTTTCCAGGCATCGTTCTACTCGACAGCGTTAAAAACCTTAATATCTGTTTCGACTGTGATTCTTTTAGGACTTATAGTAGCTTACCATGCTTTGGAAGTGCAGGTGAGAGTGAGTGCAAATTGTATTCTTCTCTTCCAGATGTTATTGATGTTCTTGCTGATGGTCGTCATCGTTAACTGTTTAACGTTGCCGTCGTCACTCTCGCTCACTGTCACCATAATACCGTTAGAGCCCCCGATAAATCCCTACCCGAAAAAGCCCCTATATGGTCATGCTAACCTCTCGAAATCCTTTGGCCACCAGTCATCATCGCCATCCCGGTTTGTTTGTATGTTTGTTAGTTAGAGTGTTTGTTTGTTTGTTTGTTTGCTGTTGAAAACGATTTATTGTATCTGGTTATGATTTCGATTAACTTTCCATTGTTTCCCCTTTTTTATTTTCAATGTGTTTCCCGCATATTGGGCTCGTGAGCCAGTGTATGGAAGGGCGATAGAGAGTGCATGTGTGGTGAAAGTTGGTGCAAGTGTGAGAAAGTGACAACCCGTTTCCGGTTCCGTTTCGCATTCGTTCATTCCACAACCCACCTTCCCACGTCCCCCTTATACCACGGCCCATTTCGCCATTTCTCTGGACATCTGACATCTAGTACCTCTACAAAAATATGAAGAGAGTTTCATTCCACCTCCAAGAATCTGAAGTAATGAAATTATGAAAGCTGAAACACTGTACATAAAGCTAACCATTCTCATTCACCCAACTCACCTTGACCACCACAATCAATATATTCACCACAGTTGTATTTTAATTCCGAATATTCGCTTTTGAATTATATTTCATAACCAATTAAGCCCATCTTTTGTAAACCTAATAACCTATCTAAAACTATGATTGAAATACATAAAATTACTTTCTTTTTCTTTATTGACAGTCACAAGTTGCCCGGTTTTTGGCATTCCTTTTCGTTTGGTATTTTTTCCATTTAACGCAGACCCCTAAAACATGATAAAGACCGGAATTATTAAGAAAACTATTTCCATTCCATACCAAAATCGTTTCGTACTCGTTTACCTCCAATATGCGCTTCAAATTCCAGTTGCATGTACAGCACTATAATTTGTTTAATTTGCTCAATATTTTAATATATATGATCATATATATGGATATGATCCTTATATATATATTTATATATATATAAATATATATACTTATAAATAATCAATACAATTTCCACTTCTACTTCCTCTTCTTCAACTTATTGGTTTCGCCTTACTTTTCTCGTTTCGTTTACCTTACAAAAACAATCCACAAAATTCCAATAAATTAGTTAAGACATGTGTTGAAATTTATTGTTGGCATGAGTTAAATACATTTATATATAGCAATAGAAAACAAAACCCCAACCGATTTGCAAATTTTATCGGTTGGGGATCGTTCTTTTGGAACTTAGAAATATGTAGATAGCATGGGAGCATTTATTTGACTAGTTCGTAATTCTATTGATTATATCTTTAAACATAAAAACAAAACATAATTATATACTACAACATGATTGATAACAATATTATCTATTAGCAACATACTCGAATAAAACCGAAGAGAAGTGGAAGATACTCGAAAGCCCTAAACTTTCGTTAGCTTCATCGACTAAACTCAAATACTGTTTGTAGGGACAAAGTCCTGTGTTCAGTGATCGAATTTGGATTGGTAATTAATGTCTCCATATCGGTAACTCGATATGGCTATCGACAGTCCGCAAATCAGTCTTCTTATCGCAATCGAAGTGAAGTTACAAAAGCCACAAAAATAATATTTTACTCAAAACTCTCACAACTGCATTTAACCATTTCCATGTCCATGATTCAATCAAGTCAGGTCATTGATCAGTCGTCTGTCAGTCAATCAATCAACCAAACCAGTCGTCAATCAACCAGTCAATCAATCAAACCAGTCAGTCAGCTGATATACTTTCTATATATATATATATATTTATATACAAATACCCCCCCTCAGAAATCTCATAATTCGTATTCTCTTCACACAATTTGTTATCTCTCTCTCTCTATTATAATAATAACTCCGAATCAATGTTTACCCCCCCAAATTAATGTTGACGTTTAAGAGTAAAATTTTAATATGTAATTACCTTCCATTATGCTTTGCAGAATTCAGTAAGTAATACTTATTATAATATCTACCATACATACTTCAATATTTGTGAGTAAATCCAAGTCAAAACCATGCATAGTGTTATGTACCATATACGGAAGCAACCAATACCAATACCAATACCAAACCAACTCAAATCAAAAACCAAAAACCAAAAAACCCGAAAACCCGAAAACCGAACCAACAAAACATGCCTAGAGTAGACAATCCATAGATCGTACTTAGATTGAGTATATCTATATATACCATATATACTATATATATCCAAAAAAAAACATACTGAAGCCAAAAAGCAGCAACCATGCAAACTTTAAGTCGATGTTTAGCTGAAACGCGTCTGTATCGTGTCTAGTGTACATACACTTTTTTTTGCGTTTTTTTTTATGGAACTAAAAACAAAATGTGCAGTTATGTACAAATACAAATAATACTGTCACACGCCATCCAAGATCAAAGGCAACCGCTTGGCTGTTATATAGCGAAAATTGTGGCTTAGCTTTGCACCCAAAAAACCACCCAAACCACCCAACCGCAATCTCACCTTGTCTTGCAGTACAGTGCAGAATACAGTACACAGTAAACACTGGCTATGTGCGAATCGATTGTGGAAATGTTTAAGCATACGGTGGTTATTTTAATGCCTAAACCTCAATTCCTAAATTTAACTAATTTATTTAAAAAACCAAAAGTAGCTTGAATATCTTAAATTACAATTTTTTTGAAAATGGTTTTTCTTTGGTCTTGGAACGAGAAATAAAAACTTAGAAGCCTTAATTCTGTAATTCAAATTTTGTTCAATCCTTACTCTTCGTGTTTATTGCCCCTATAGATATTCCAATAGAAGTAAATTTTCAATAAATATTCCGTATATTATGTTAGAAACGTTTCTTTCCAATCGGCTTGCATATATTACATAGATGGACATGTGCACAACATACATAAAAGCATACCAGCACACATATGAGCATTCCCATTGCTAAGTCGACACTTAATATATATATATATTAATAGATATATGTGTACTATCAAACATCAAACCCATCTATCACCAAAATTAGAGGCAAAAACATCAGAGTTTGGCCAAACCAAAGAGAGAACACAGGACTTTGTACATGTGAGATAGGAGAGACCTTCCCAAAAGACCTTGTCGCAAATCGATAATCAATTAATCAGTCGGCTTAACTTGCGAATGGCTCATATGCAATTAAAAAACGAAAGACACTAAAATCAGAAGACCATGCCTTTCCTCAACAAAAGGGAAAATGCACATCATTTAGATTGTTGTGCGAATAGCCACCGCATTTGGGATGGGGAAATATCCAGATTTATCGATATTATCGATCCAACTGTAAAACCATCGATAAATAAGATATTTTGCCAATTCTACTCTGCCTAGATGTTGTGAAATTTATAGTTGTTTGTGCATATATATGGCCTAATTGCACTGCGAACTTTAGATTAATGCAGTTAAGGGCTAGGAGGCTTACCGCCAATTAAATCCAGTGTGGGGTAACATTGAACTTTATAAAAATTGATTTGATAACGACAAAGTAACGAAAATGGATAAAGGTAAACCACCAACCAAGAAAACGAGAACGAAATCGAGTGAAATGTGCTAATTACACGAAAACACGCACGCTGCTTTCTAGTAAGTACTTGCACTCACACATGCACCAAAGCACACATACACCTATACTTACCCCAACTAATGAACAAGAAATAAAACATAAGACACGAAATGAATTTCAGAGGAGATTCCAAAGCTTACGATACTTGAACTTGACTCAGGAATTGCTTCCACCACTTAAATAGAAACCATTAACACACACATACATACACACACACACACATGTAGGCACACACACTTGACACCCCCTCACCAACACCCACACGTACACATACACATACACACCATTGACGTTGTACTTGTCAAATAATTCATGCTCGTATATTTGAGTGTAATTCATTTCTGTTTAGTCGCAAAAAAACCAAAAAAAAAACCAATCAATAAATCTCCAATTATAATTAATAAATTATATACGTGTTCTCCCTTTTCTTCCCTTCTCATTTCTTTTTCTTTTTGGCACACACGAACGAATCAACGAACTTAATAACCGTATATCTATATCCCATGTATCTATATCGAAATGCGACTATAAATCCAATCGAAATCGATAACCACAGTTATTCATGATAGATAACTGCGCCGACGATTGGAGGATCGCAATGACATGGCAACGAATTAGTCAAATAGGGTTAGAACTTTTTATATGCGCTATACATCCAATTCCTGGCGAATACTATTTCCAGTGGACGACGAAATTGGCCAATAAGAATAAAACAATTGGCACCGAAATGGTGCCATATGACGTAGCTTTATCATTACCTATGTTCCTTCGATTATATTTAATCTGCCGCGTAATGCTGCTGCATTCAAAGCTATTCACAGATGCATCATCACGGAGCATTGGCGCTCTCAATAGGATTAATTTTAACACAAGGTGAGTTCAATTCAAATCAAATATGTAAGCCGCACGGTCACACTGTGCTTCAAATATAGCTTCGGTCACCCTGTGCGCTTTTTGGGTTAATTCAATTTAAAATAATTTCCCTTACTTACTTCTCCATTATAGATTCGTTTTAAAAACTCTAATGACAATATGCCCGGGAACGGTTCTATTGGTCTTCATGGTCTCGCTGTGGATCATCGCATCCTGGACGCTGCGTCAGTGCGAAAGGTAATGGCCTTATTCTATTCTCAAATTTATGATATGATATTTCTACTTGTAGAGTTTTTGATTTTTCTTGATTATTTACCATTATATTTTTGATTTTTCTTATTCTTTCGTTTCGTTTTGGTCTCAATGGTTAATTGGTTTCGTTTGTTTTTAGTTTTTATAGTTTTTTCTTATTCTGTACGTTTTGCGTTATCCGTATTTTTCATAAGTTTTTCTCTGAACGCCATTTCCGTTAACCGTTCTGATTCAATGTGTTTGCCACTAATACTTTGACATAACTATGTATTTAATATCAATGTATGTATGTACATAATGTATGTGCCAAGCATTACGTAATGTCTTTTTCAAGAAACTCAAAAACTCGAAAACTAAAGCATCTTCGTCACAAGTTGTATTCGTATTTTTTTTTATATACTCCTGTATAAAACAAGTTGTCGAACACATTTAAAAGTCCGGATAAAGGGGAAGTGGGGATTTAAGCACAGCCACAGCTTACAACATACACGATAAACAAAAAAATAAAGCGAATGCGCATTGTTGCTTATTCATACGTGCTAAAGAATTTACATGTAGCTTGCATTTTATCCGCATACACATATGAAAACCAAATCCCCGACGAAAGACCAAAACAGAAACGAGTTCGAATGCGAATCTGTAACAATCGAAATGCAATTGTCACTGTCACGTAGCGAACGATTGGATAATGGATAATGCTTGCATGTGTTTCAATTTATTTACATTTGGCATTCGGATTCGCTTGTTTTTTTTAACACATTCCCCAATCCACCCAGAAAGAACCCTGATAGCTGATTGCTTTTTTACATTTATATTTCTGTACTTTTCCCCTTTTCTGACAACTGACAACTTATCGATATATTCGATGAAAGTTGATTGTCGTCCTGCACATATCGAGGGGAAGGGGACAACAACAACAAAGCAAAAGGCGCACACACTCGTACAGTTGACCTCTAAAATACAAACCATTTAGAGTCGGAGAGGCAGTAAAAGAATTGATTGTGACTTTATAGAGAAGTAAGATGATGCATGCTATTGCTATCGAAATCGAAGTGAACTCAGTAGCGCTTCACTTCACTAAGTGCAGTCACACTGCATGCTTTTAATGCATGTAAAGCAAATCTTACTTCTCTGTATCGCGCTTATAACTTACGCATATCCTTTCATATTTATCCCCATGCCTGTAACGTCTCATTTAACATTTTGTATACTTTATTAAACTTTAAATCTTTGTGTTTCAACGTTGTATGCTAGCTCAGTCTATATTTCTCTCTCGCTCTACTTTACTCCAACTTATCTTACTCCTCCTTCAGTAAAATCCTTCTTCATTTTCCAAGGGAAATCCTGTTTGATGACACCATTTGTAATTGAATTGGCGCACCATACGTTGCTCTCTCACTCTCTCTCTCTCTCTCTCTTTCGAGTAAACCGTTTGGACTCCCGGCTTCTGTCCCCTTTCAAGTTCTTTTTTTACTCTGTGACTCTCACATTGATCTACATATATCAGTTGTTCTTCCAATTTTTATACTTTTAATTCAATTTGTTTGTGGACTTACCACGTTCCTTAAGTTCTTCTTGTTGTTGTTGCTGTTTAGTTTTGGGAAACGAAACAAAACAAGAAAAATGACTAACAAAAAATCAAAAAAACATTCTTACATTGCATATTTATTTAATCAATTAAGCTTTAAATTCAAATTGTGGATTGTACTGCGCCTGCATTGCTGTAGATCATATCTAAACATCCGTATATATGTAACAAAATATAATATTGAAACAAGTGTTAACCCAAAACAAAACCATGAAAACAGAAAACAGAAATCGAATACCATCCATCCAAATAGGGAGCCCAACTCCAAAGAGCCAACCGATAGGTCCAACAGCTGTGTTTCTGTCAGTGACGAAAGCATATACACCTCTCCATAAGTTGTTGTTGTTGCTGCTGTTGTTGTTGTCGTCCTTATTGTTGCGTTGTTCCTATAGCTCATATATCCTCACATGCCTGTGCAGTTGGATCCATAAGATAATATAAATAAATAAACACAGGCATGTTCGAAATCGGTCAATCACAGCCAAAAGACAGAGATGATAAAAAAAGAGACAGAAGCACTCGTACCTTCCTCCTCCTTGTTGTTCTTCATCTTCTCCTTCTTCTACCACTACTATGTACGCCATATAAATATTCCCCACTTTCATTTCATTTTTGCCTCAGATGAGTGACACGTATTGATTTGCGTGTCACATCCTCCGCTCGATTTGTTTCTGATTTTGCTTTCCCACGATTTCATTACTTGGCATTATTTTTGGCACATGGCGATAGACTGGATTGGCCAACGAACAACTGAAAAAGTTCAGTGAGAAATATGAAATGAAAAATAAATACAACGAGTACTGACCTACCTGCATATGTATGTCCATCAATTTCAAAACGAGAAATCGAACACCAGCACACAAACCAAACGTATATGTATTTATCGTAACGATGTTGAATTGTGTTTCGAATACCATAATTAATTCGTATCTCAATGTTTTTTCTGTAGAAATTGGTAGAATTCGTTCTGAATTTCCTAAAATTTTAATTTCTGATCTGTCTGTTTCTGTTTTTTTTTTAGCCGGGTCCTGGTCGAGGTCCCAACTTTAATTTCTGTTTTATTCATTTATCTATCTGTGTCTGTATGTGTGTCTGTATGTGTATGTGCGTAATGTTTGAGATCCCTGGAAAATGTATCTTTACCAATCATGCATGCTCTGCTCAGCTCGGATCAAAGCTATGTGAGTTAGATATAGGGCAGGGAATTTAAATTAAACATTTTTGGGAAATAACAGGTGAAATCTTGAGATTTTTCCCAACATTAAATGGGTGTTTACAAACACTGAATACACAAACACCAGTCATACACTAAGAAAACCAAATCATTCCCCTTTTAACGCTCAATTCCTGACTGCCTTATAAATTGTTGCTCTTATCAAAGGACTCACATTAATTTTGGTCAAAATGGATGGTCACACCGCACAAGAGTGCAGTGTGACCTTGAGCACATCTAAAGAAAGTTCAACAAAGTTTTCAGGTTTTCAATGCGTACTCCAAATAGCCAATTACAGTTAGAATATCAAAGTACGAATTTCATTTGCCAGTGTACAAGCTCTTGGCATTCATTATGACTTTTCCTTGGCAAATTGCTTATACCATCCATACACAAGCAGCCACCCACACGCCCATCGAAAACGGCACCCAATGGAGCTGTGCCGGCAGGCATGCTTCAGCATTTAGTGGCCACATCTCTAGGGCTTCAGGTGGTAAGCCTCTGCAGGTGGAACAGCGGGTTATCACGGGGAAACTCTCTGTTGGGCCATTTTAGTCGATTTGCATGTAGTCACAAGTGTGCGCCGTTTTGTGTGAGTGCGAAGTATGTGCATCTGTGCCGTTCAGATCAAGATTTATCAGTTGGAAGACCCAGCACAGAACCCAAATCCCAGCCCCAAGCCCAAGCCCAAAGCCCCATTCCAATCAGACTTTCATGCCCCTACAGGAGGAGGTGGAGAAGATGAAAAAATGCAGGAGGAGGAGGAATAAGAAGGAGGAGCAGAAAGAGGATAAAGGAGTATTATGAGAGGAAAGCAGTTTTTGAACCGATGCCGAAGCAAGTGTTGTAATCGAATTGCCAAAACTACTATCCAAACTATAATTATTCAATATTATTCATGTCATTGTATATTCCAAAATTATACCCCGCAGCCCCTTTTACAAAAAATCTATCTACCTATCTATCTATCTGTACCTTTCAATCTATCTTACTATCTCGCTCTTATCGTCTATTGAGGACTTTAAATTCGTTGCCCAAAAAGATGAAAACAATCCATAAAGATAAAGCAAATTATTTTCCTCCTGAATTTCATTTTCTTACCTTCCTCTTATTTTGTTTCCTTATCGAATTTGTTTTTTATTTTTGCGTTTTGTAATTAAATTATTTAATTTTTTAATTTCTTTGGTACTTATGCGTATTTTTTTGAAATACATGGAATCTTTCTAAAAATATGAAAAGAATTTACCAAATTGTATTCTTATTTTTTTTAAAACAAAACCAAAACAAAAATAATAGAAAAAATTTTTTACAAAAAATGTTCACATAATTTCACATCTGTTTATTTGTTTACTCCACTTCTCACCCTACTTCTGTATCCACAAATTGCAAAAAAAAAAAAACAAAATGTATGAAATCGAATATATATATATGAAAAATACCAAACTACAACCGATAAACAACCGCTACTTGAAAACGCATACGAAATACGCACAACGCATCTGAAATACCGAATTCTCTATATATATTTTTGTATACTGAAAACCGCAAAATCGTTAAACCGCTAACGAAAAATGTCAAAACGGCAAATAATATCAATAATACCAAACCAAAAAAAACGTATCATAAATGATAAAACGAACGAACGAACTGAAAATCGTACCCCATTCCCACAATGCCGATCAATTACAAACCAAAAACGATACGATCCAATCCGATTCGATTCGATCCGCTTAAAAAAGGTTCCACGATGAGGAGCACGCGAATTTGCTAAACTCCATGTGGCTAACGGCCATCACATTTCTGTGTGTCGGCTACGGCGACATTGTGCCAAACACGTACTGTGGACGCGGTATCACCCTCACCTGCGGCATGGTGGTAAGTATTTCCTCAAAAACCTCAAAAAACAAAAACAAAAAAAAAATCAAAAACCTTTCAAGAAATACCAAAACCAAAGACTCCCAGATACTCCATTTATGATACCGATAATACATTAAAAAAATACCAAAAGCAAACTAAATGAAAATAAATAGAACAGTACAGAACAGAACAGTTGCAAAAATGTATATATTTCTAAAAAAAAAATATATATATATATAGACAAACTATAAAGAAATTCTATAACCAGATAAACAATAAACTAAAACAACTACAACAACAAGTACATACATCATCATCAACAAAAAAACAGCAACAACAACAGCAAACAGCAAACTTTCATGCATAAAAATATGAGAAATCAAAACCCATCGCAAGCCAAAAAGGAGTAGTAGTATATGAAGAGAAGGAGGTGGAGGCGAATGATAATAAAGGAGGGGTTGCCCAGCAAAAGTAGCCGCCATTGAGGCGCCCCCCCAAAAAAAGAATCAAAATAATACAGAACAGAGGAGAACAGAAAAGAAAACGCCCGCTCCGCACATATATAGTATTTTATAGTAATTGTACCTGCCAAATCAAGCCAAACACACGCACGCACACACTTCCCTCTACACAGAAAACAAAATATGCCAACTCTCCAAGTCTTCAGACATTTGATTCTTCAAAAAATAACCTTTCAAGAAATACCAAATACCAATGCCCACAGATATCGCTATATTTCTAATACAATTCTGGAATTGTATGACCATTGTTATAAGTCCTGGTACCACAACTATTTCACAGTGATATACAAGTAAACATCACTGAAATCGTACGAAAAAAGCTTTCCTCATCTTGTAATATGTGTGGGTGTGTGTGGGTGTGTGTATCGAATATCGTACAATATTTTTTCCTGTATACATACATACGTGTGCGGGCGTATTCCCTGACCTATCTTCTTGGTGCTCCCGAAATGCTAACCCCTCCTCAGATATAAATTCAAATTGAAATATCCAAAATCCGTTATGGTGGAGCCTTCCGCCCACGCAAACAGTAGTATAAACACATATCCATTTTTCGTAGCATACATTCCAGCACACATATTTTAGATGCCGTTTTGTCTGCCCAAAACGTCGCCCAATACAACAAAACCGTGAAAGCCAAAATAAACTGAAAAAAGCGGAAAGCAAATGTCGAGCTATAGTTCCTATATCTATATCCATCTCGCTCTATCTGGTTTTTGTTTTCAGTCAGGCTGCGATTACTACTCAAACACAATCACACGAATTCTCACACATACTACACACACTGGCAATCTGTTGTAAATCATCACCAAAAACTACATGTATATGTGACCACCCACCCACTTTGTGTGCTCGCGCGTGTGTGTGTGTGTGTGCTGTATTATTACCATAAGTATACATTATATATATTTAAATATATGTACATAATCACCATGTGTGTGTGTGTGAGTTTTTGCAGCATTAAAGAGTGCAGATAACAATGTAACTTTTCCCCTTTGTCCTTTTTTCTGCCAGCGAAAACTAAAACAAAAAATCCTGACACACACACACTCATACACATATGTACTTTAAAGAGGAAGCGTAGGAAAAAAACGAGAAAAGTTTTTGCTTCCTGGCACAAAAAAAAAGAAAAAAAAAAAATCAAAACAAATCTTTTCTGACAGCTCCGGCAAATTCTATTAATGTGCAGACTTAACTGACTGTGAGTGTGTCAGTGTGCGAGAATGGCTCTGTGTGTGTGTGGTTGTGTGCGTGTGAGCGTTGGAAATTAAATTGAATTATTTTGTGCACCCTAGAAGCCTTCTTCATTATGAGAATCGAATCACTAGATTTCATCAAAGATATATACATATGTATATATATTTTCAACTCTCACTTTTGTACAGAAAGCTTTAATCGGGCCAAAAACCCCCATGGTTGTACATATATACATATATATTAACGGTTACGTACATAACTGTCAACATCTCGATATATCTAAAAGCCAAAAATCACTCCCTCTCCCCACAAAAAACAAAAAAAAAAAATAAAGAAACAAAACAAAAAAAATATTAAAAAAGAAAACCAATTCCCATGAAACTCTTTTTGGACCACTGTATTGTGTGCGCTCACCAGTTTACTCGTCCATTTGTTGTTAATCTCGTTTTCCTATATGCAGAATGCCCATTCTAACTTTTACTTTTCGTTTCCACAATTGTTTTTCTTTTCGTTTCCGTTTGCGTTACTGTTTTCTGTTACGATATGCGTTCGAGTTTTACGTTCTACTAATTTAACCAGTTTTACCTGTGCCAGTTTAGTTTTTAATGGATTTTTATAGTTTATTTTTGAACATTAAGCCAACAATACGATATTTTTCTCTATCTCTCTTTCCCTTTCATTTAAAATAAAAACGCGTGTATTCAATTTGACCCCTGAAACTGAAAATGAAACTGAATCTTCAACTGATTAAATCCATAAAAAAACCATAACCAATTAAAATATATATAAATATATATATATATATTTCGAACAAAACAAATGTATATGAAAACACCAAAAAAAAACAAAAATAAAAATAAACGCGTGCTGGTTTATGGAACAGATTTCATGATGAAGAACATGCGAATCTTTTGAATGCAATGTGGCTGATAGCGATAACATTTTTGAGTGTTGGTTTCGGTGATATTGTTCCGAATACGTACTGTGGACGTGGTATCGCTGTCAGTACAGGAATAATGGTGAGTTTTTAACAACAAAATATTACCAACAATTGCACACAACATAACAATCAAGAAATATGTATAAAACAAAAAAACAAAAAAAATATATATTATTTAAAAACCAGATGTTTCAAATAGAACAGATATTCACGTGTAAATAATTACATAAACTGCATACGAATGTTTACCCGCCCACCACAACCGCCCCTCGCCGCCACTTTTAATATGAACACAATGAAAAATCTTAACTCACCTGAATCGTCAAATTTCTAGTTAACTGTACATACATATATCAAATACCTAGATGAATCACCAAATACAAGCTTAAGAACTTTCATTTGAGGCGACAACCTAACCGCATGTTTTCAGCCTGAGACCAACTGAGATCAGATTGAGCCATTTCAAGTCAGCCCTAAAGTCTGAAGTCCGGAAAAGAACGAGAAAAACGACCACAACTGATCAAAATATATCGCAAATGAGGCATAGTGAACAGCTTAGGAAATAGTGCTTATAGTGCCTATAAACGAATTAAATAAGTATTTTCCATTCTTCTATCTTCCTTCACATTTTATCCAGTTCTGCTTTTGTGTGGCTTACTTTCTTCTCTCGCTCTCTTACATCTCTTTACATATTTGACTATATTTCGATTTTCCTCACTACCGGTCGTCTGACTATCTGCTTTCTTCTACTTTTTGAGATATTTATCATGTCGTAGTGGCCAAAATAACCAAAGTATAAAATAAGTGCTAAAAAAAAAACAAAAAAAAGTAATAAAGCTATGATAGATATTTCCGTTCCCTAACTTGACTATGAATCGTGATTTATGGTTTCGACTTTGTTCCCTAGCTAATTGTTTCGTACTTATGTGTGTATGTAACTCTCTGCCAGACACCTCTAACTGTTGTTTTACATATAGACATGTGCCGAACCCGAATCGATTAACTCTTTTGATATTACTCTAATCCTGAATCTAAACCCCACATCCAACTCCGTATCTCTAAACTCTAACCCACAACCGTTGCTGCATTTCAATCAAATTCCATATATATCGTAATTTCAATTAGAAGATAGCCATTCCAGTCATCCAAACTCATTCAACCCACTCACCCATTAATCGTTCAACCATCGAGAAGCAAACAAAATAACAAAGTGAAAAAATAGAAGACAAAAAAAAAAGGAAAGAAAAGAAAAGAACCAACTGAAACATAACGTATATATATGTTGTAACATCCATAAAAGTACTATATCTATTGTGAGAGCAACAACAAAAGTTCTGGACTATATAACTTGATAAACAAAAGCAACTTTCATTTTGAATGCATAAACCAAAAGTGAAAATAACCAACTGGCATTACAGATGGCCGGGCACCCAACCCCCAAAACCACTAAAACTACTCACTATCCACAAAAAAAAGAAGGAAAAATAAATGCTAGCATCAGAGAAAATGAGTGCAATTGTGTCGCAATTAAGTAAATTGCCTTTGACCATTTGCCAATTTCAGCTAACTGGTCGTTAGATTTCACACGTAATTTTCTATATTTTTTTGCCAGCTGTCACTCGCAGTATTTCGTAAATAACAATAATAGTTTTAGGACGATAATACTAAACGATAATTATAATGTCGATTTGGTCACTGGTATATTGTGGTAATTTATTTGAAAATAATTATAATAACGATAAATTCTTTCTCTGATATAAGAATCGTAAATCTATTAGTTTGAAAGCTCAAGGCCTAAGCAGTTGGATATTTTAGTACCGCTTTGGTAACTGGCCAATTGTATACATCTATTGAATGCACTTACGGAGTTGGGTGTCCGGGAGTCCCAGATCTCAGATCTCAGATCCCAGATCCTGATCCTTGATCCCTGATCTTGTGCCTCAGATCTTCGATCCTGGATCAGTTCGAAACTCACCTCAGTTGCGCGCGTATTCGAAATTCAATGCCCAAACTCACCACACTCCACGTCGTCGTTGCAGGGCGCCGGCTGTACGGCTCTACTGGTGGCCGTAGTCTCCCGGAAACTGGAGCTGACCCGTGCCGAGAAGCATGTGCACAACTTCATGATGGACACGCAGTTGACCAAACGGGTATTGATCGTGTTCCAAGATACCGGAGATACTCGTACCATATATATATATATACTATATAACGAATATCACATCAAAAATCATATACCATGTACCATTTATATACATATGCATTCTAATTACTTTGTATACGTTTCTTCTTTGGACCAAAATTTAGCTGAAAAATGCTGCGGCGAATGTTCTGCGTGAAACTTGGCTCATTTACAAACATACAAGACTAGTAAAACGGGTTAATCCCGGCCGTGTAAGAACCCACCAAAGAAAGTTCCTTCTAGCTATATATGCGTGAGTATTTTTAGAGATCTATCAACAATCAATCAACCAACCAACCAACCAACCAAACAACCAAGAACTAAGAACAAATACCAATCGAAAGATAATAACTAAATGAAGAGTGCCTAAGAACAACTAAATCAAACTTAAAGCCTGAATGATATCAGATCGTATAGAAGTTTTCGGGTCTTTGGAATGGGGGAAATATCATTGGTCGTCTCTGTTTGTTTATGTTCTGTCTCTTTTCTGTCTACATTTCGTACATTTTTGTGAAACTAACTCTCATTTGTTCGCATAAATCTCTGTACGTACTATGTTTGTCAGATTATCTAACAAAATAACAAAGAAAATCACTGTCAGTTCGTAATACTAACCCTGTACTGTTGCCCCCATCATTATTAGACTCATCTGTGTGCCCATCAATAATCGTAGAAAAGCTTTGGGAAAGCCATCCATCAGAATCTGTACATACATCCGTACGAAAAGAAAGTAAAACCTATACGAAAAACCAAAAACGAACTAATCAAAATACTAAAAACGATAATACCAAGTACTAAACTGAAATGTTGAAACCACAAATGATTGAACTCGTTTTACTAGCCTGTAAATAGGTTGTAAAGCCCTGTTTTTACGTTATGCAATAACCGAGACTAGCCACATAACCTAGCATGCTGCGTTAAATATTCTAGAATCTCGTATCTAAAACTATCGCAATATCATCTGTGCTTTTGCCTAGTGCCCAGTATCATACAATACCATACATTACTAACATTACACCCGATTCTTGTTATCCGTCCAAAATTCAAAACATAGCCCATTCCACCGAATCCTGTGAATCGTCTTAGTTCGAATCAATCTCCCCACTATCACCGGGAAATGGCTTAGGGATCAGCCGAATGATATGATGATACTTTCACGATACGATTTTCTGCAATTTTAACGCCCGAATATGGACTTTTTTCCTACTCCAAAATAATCCTTCTATCAACTACGGCACAACGAATTCTACACACCAAAAAAATAATAATCAAATAAATAATATTTTCAGAGAACTCTATCTAATAGCTGTGTGATTCGAAACTAAAAAAAAAAATGAAATGAAACACAAACATTATGTTCCAATTATAAAGTTTCGAAGCACTCTGTCATCTATTGGTCCGATGTGTAAATACGCTCTATTTGAGTGGATTTTATAAATGAAATCTCAGTTTTCGGCTGGACGAAACGAAAAATCTTTTCCACACAAAAAAGTATAATTGTGTGTGAATGTGATTTTTTTGTGAGAAAAGTACTAATTAGTGTTATGTGTTGGCCGATCTATCGAATTGTATATAAATAATTTTCTCTGTAATATTGATGCCTCTTCCAATGCGATTTAGGTTGCGAAAAGTTAAAATGGATCAGCGCAAACTAATGGATAATGCAAACACAATAACTGACATGGCCAAGGTAGCTATATAACAGAACACAAAACATACAATCGAACTTTGATAATTGCACACGAATCGATAGCTTACTCGCATCGATAGCCATCGATGTTTGCGATACACAAATATCCATATTGTTAATCGTTAATTTTGTGGAAATTATGTATGTATGTCCCTCTGCAAAGTTCAAAAGAGATTTAATTATTCAAAGTTCGAATGTGCAGCATTGTGTACAGTATACACTTCACATATGAATGAGCCGATGTGCAATGAATGTTTGTGATTGTGTGAATACCATTCGCAGACACAAAACACGGTCTACGAGATAATATCGGATATGTCTAGCCGTCAGGATGCCATCGAGGAGCGTTTAACCAACCTAGAGGACAAAATGCAGAGCATACAAGTATGACAAACAATCGGTAGTTTTGTGTTTGCCCAGTGACTTACTTACGCCCACCCCCTTTTCCCCCCGGCACTTGTGAATTGTTTTTGCAGGAGCACATGGAAAGCCTTCCAGACCTATTGTCTCGATGTCTGACCCAGCACCAGGAGCGGATCGAGCAGCGGCGGAACTTTTTACATCCTGACACAGCTGCAGTTGCCCCCATTCAAGCGCCAACGCCCCAATCGATGTTCAATGCAGCGCCCATGCTGTTTCCCCATTCTAGGTGAGTCGTCCCCTCTCTTTCTCTAGCCACGCTCTCTCTCTCTCTCTCTCTTTCTGTCTCTGTCTCTTTCTCTGTCTGTATCTATATCTGTCTATGTGTATATGTCTATGAGCCATGTCCATTATCCTCATCCAAACGCCCACATATGTATGCCTATGTCATTAAAGCGAGACTTGTGCCTGTCATTTCAATTTGTTTTTGTTCGTTGTCTGCGAGCCATTTGTCTCCTGGATGGGAGAATTGGGGTACCCACCCACATTCCAGAAATCCAAACATCCTGTCATCTTGCATACTCATTTGTAAATATATATTCCGTAGTTGTCCATTGCACACACTTGATTCCTCCAAATTACATCCCAAGTCCCGGTGGCTACCCAAAAAGAGTATTAAGAAACGTCTTCTATGCAAGATTCAAGTGATTTAAGACTGATTGAGGAAATTATAGCATTTTTTTTTGTAATCAATCATTCAGTGGAACGGTCAAGCAAAAGCTATTTCTTGACCGTTACTAGATTTCTTTAAATTATAATTTGTATTGAATGATGATATCTTTGGACGAACACTAACTGCAGGGCTTTCAATTTACCAAATTTTTCTTTATTGACTCTTCATGGCTTTCCAACGCTCTGACATTTCACGATTTGCATCGAATCAAACCATCGCCATTAAACCAAACAAAGAAAATGAAACCAAGATTTTATTTATTTTTGAAAAGTGTACTTGATAACGACAATTAACATACTGCTTTTTGCATAGAAGTGTTCCCTCATCCAATAACGCCGCTGCTACTTACCATTGGCCAACAAGCCCTATTTTGCCACCTATATCTAGTAGAACACCACATTTAGTGCCTGATACTCACATGCCATCAAATGGATCTGCAGTTAATAGCTACGCATCTTCCAACAAATACGGCAGCTGAATATCAGAAAGAGAGCGCTCCAACTCCGTGATTAACATCGAGATGCTAACAATAAGGCCGGATCGATCCTGGCCAACCTCATCCGCACCCCAAAAATCAACATCTACATCAACATCAGTATCCACATCAACATCAATGTCTACGTCAAAGTCTAAACCCGAATTCGAAGTGGCCGAGACAGCGCTGAGGCAACGCGTGCTATCGCCGTCGTTATCGGAGTTTCAATCAAAATCGCTATCGAGACCATTGCCACAAACGCAAGACAACATTTTGCAGCAGCTCATTGGGCGGGAAAGGGAGATGATACCGATGATACCGATTATACCGATCATACCGATACCAGTGATACCCGAAGACGCCGAATCGTTGGCGAACACCAATACGAACAGCAATAGTTCGCCCGATCAGCAGAATGTGCCGATGACCATAAGTACAGTACCGCCATCGAGTTCAGCGCCCGCATTCACAGTGACCGGAAGCGGAAGTGGAAGTGGAAGTTCGGTGGCCGGAACTAGTGGTGGCATTGTCAAATCGATAACGATGAACGAAACGATTACGACGGGGAGCGGCAAGCCGATTGCCTCGAATAAGTTTACTAGGAAAAGAGAACGTGTATGCAATAATAGTAGTTAATAGTGGTAGTCATAGTCATAGTAATAATAGAGGTAAAAGTAATATTAGTAATTCTACAAGTCGAATTTCGAACTCGGCCTTTTGTAAATAAGCCTCTTCGAGATGAGAAAAAAGTCAAATGTTAGCATATACATATTAATATACAGAATACACACACACTATGTATCTATATCTGTATATGGATATATAGGCCTACCCACAAAACATCCAAAAGAAAGAAAAAAAACAATAAGAGAAAACCAAACAGAATATATGTATACATATATATGTAATTGTGTAACTTTTTTTTCTAAGTTTTAGGCTATACGTATTTGTAATATTTCACCTTGGGCCAAGGCAGCCTGTACATGCATACTAAAATACTTAACATAATATAGCATATAGGCAGTGTATGTGTGTGTCTGTGTATGGGAGTGTGCGAATGCGAGTGTACAGGACCAGATTGATTAGGAAGCTAGGTCATAGTACATAGATCATAGGGCACCAGTATGTAGAATCCACGTATGTAAACGCTCAGAAACAGAAATAGCAATAGCAAACCTAAAAGATCTGGCACCAAAAGTCCATACCATTAAATCCGTACATCCCTTAAAGGACTGCAACCCCCTGAAAGACTACCCCCAGCACTTCCGCTTCCGGTGCAGCCAACCAACTGCAAGACATCCACGAACATGGCAAATTCTAGTGTCCGTCTGTCCAAAATCTGTGTGCGAATATATACATATATATTGTATCCGTATCCGAAGGATGTGTGTCTGACCTGACTGTGTGTGCGAGGCAAGTGAAAGTAAAAGCATACGAGGAATCCATTAAAGCCCCAACAATTATACACAAAACGAGCATAGCAAGGAAAAAGAAAAACGAAAAACAAGAACTAAATCCCAAAACAAGAACAATGAAAAACTATCTAACTAGAAAGTGCATGTTGCGAGATTTAGAAAACAGCGAAACCAGAAAACCAAAAACTAAGAGATAGAATAAAAGAAGCCCAATAACCGAGGATAAACGAAAAATAAACACACAAGATGGGAGTTCTTACTTAACAACTACATACTATGTAGATCTGGCTTTAACTAAACTAACGAAACAAGTTTAAAGGAAACAAGTTTGTTGTTGTCTTCTTTTTCTACACATATATTAAAATATATATAGTATATATACATACATATATATTTTCGTTGTTGCTGTTTTTCGCCCATTCTTTTCTACCAAGAATTATGAACTCAATTAAGAACCTGATTAGCTTTTGAAGAAAGTTTAAGACGACGATATAGTAGCGTAGACTAAACTGAGTTACAAAGAAGAGAAGAAGCAGTCGCAAAACGAACTATTTAGTATAGTCTACATACTAAAGTGAACAATTTTAATTGGAATTTTTGTAACATATTAAAGTAAATCTCATTAATATACAAGCTAGCTGGCAAATGTGTAACAACGGAACAAACTACAAGCTCCAGATAGAAAATAATAGTACCGAAACGAAAAGATCGGAAGCGAGTTGATAGAGCAGATTAGTGTAGACATAATAGCAGATGTGGCCGAGCTACGTAAACATTTTCTAAAGATTCTAAAAGGAACATTATATATACTATATACTTACTATAAAGTATTAACTGAGAGCATCGAAGTTATTTAAAGTAAAAAATCAAAGCAAGAAAACATAAGAATTAGGTAATGTGCAACCTTCTAACGCTTTGTTAGGTTTTCAAGTTCCCAAATTGAAGACAAATGAGATATACAACTGAATTCCCCAATTAGTGCCCCCATCCTCAAGCTCCCCAAAAATTCCACCCATCCTCACAGCAACTCCCCAATTCCCCAGTTAGTGAGACAGACTCTGCATATTATACAGAACCAGGGCCAGAAAGGATCAAAATATCTGTAAACTGTAGATTATATAGCCATAGGATGCAGTCCACTTTAAGCCAACTAAGAGTATCGAAGTTTGACCACATTGATTTACCCCACATCTCCAAGCCCCTGGTCTGAGTTTTGATTTATGAAAACGAAACTCCCCTCAACCAAAAAGTTTCCCAATTGTCTGATAGGTCTTAACTTATATGTATATGTACAACTAAAGGCCCAGACAAGTAAAAAAAAAAGTCAAAAGAGAACAAGGAACAAGAAACAAACTAAATGAACCCTTAAACAAATGTGTGTATACCTATTTATAATATTGAATATTTAAATTGAAATGAACGTTCAAGACTGCTGTCAAAATAGCTTTATCACAATAAATAACAAAGATCTACACAAGACGATAACACACCAAACACAACAGAACCGAACAGAACAGAACAGATCAGAGCAATACTAAGGATATCAATAAATATCGATTATCGAATCGGAAGCGATTATCGAACCGGAAACACACAGCAACACACAGATTCAGATACGAGATATGGAATGCGGCCAGCTTTAACGTTATGTATTTATGCATATTTGGGTTTCAACTCTACAACAACCTAAAACGAATACGCAGGATGATACTGAAATTGATCGATATACAATTAACGATATACGGAGTCCAATCAAATCAAATCGAATTGAATTGTATTGAATTGAATTGAGTAATTGGTGCAAGATCAAATTCCCGTTTGAACTGGTTTCCTAAGCCCCACAAAAATACCTTTAAACAGAAGATAAAAACCAAAAACTTTGATATGAGGGACCGAATTTCCAAAGACAGGTCTTTATTATACAAAATACCGAAGCAAAAGCAAACCAACTAACAAAGAATTCCTAAGTAACAACATTAAACATTAACGATTTATAATACGCAAGATTTTAAACCGCCTTAGAGCTGGGTTCCAAAAATAACTAAGGTACACATTGAAGGATCGTATTTGCACCATGTCCTTGGTTGACTTTCGTAGCATTATTGGTCAGACGTCCCACGTCCAGCATTGTGTTACATTGTGTCCATTTGTGTTTGACTTTTAACGTAAACCAGAATCACATTGAATCGAATCGTATAGATAAATGTATACTTTCTTTTCCTCAGCGAATCGTAGAGCTCAAGGGGTACTTCGAGAATCATGCTGCAACCGTAACTCTTCTAGCCAAACCAGGTCCAATAGAACGTGCATACATATGTATGTACATATGCATGTTGTATACATATGCCAATGCCAATGCTAATGTAAAACTGGATTCGTGTTTTCGAAAACGTTTCAAACCGGATTGTGACGAAGCAGCCATTTTGGTGTATTTACACAATAGCATCTAGAAGGGTCCTTCCCCCAAAATATCCCCCACAACCCCAATCCCTCCTCTCGCGCGCCCAACTAGATTGGGGTATGCAAAATATATATGGTTACATATACATACATACAATATCTAGATATACAACACACATATACTCGTATATACACATACATGTACAGACGGTCTATGAGGTGTATACCAAAAAAACCCAAAGCCAGAAACCAAAGAAACCAAGAACCCAAAAACCAAAAACCAAAAACCAAAAACCAAAAACCAAAAAACCCACACTAATAAGATCATATTTGACTTTATATGTATTATAGTAATGTATTCAGTAGCTAAATCGATAGCCGAAGCAAAGACCAATTTATTAACAACAAACTAATAAGGAAAACCCAACTGGAAAACAATTATTATGTTAAACTAAACAATAAAAACATAAGTGCAAGGCGAAACAATTTTTTATGGAGAAAATAAGAAAACAAAAGAAAAGTAAAGTAAAGAAAAGAAAAGAAAGTAAACTAGAATGCATTGCATGAATTAAACGAAGTGGAGAAAAACTAATAGAAAGCAAAACTTGAATAAAGCTAAACAAATGTCAACTAAAACCAAACTTTAACTAAACCTACACTAATGCTAAATCTAAAACTAAAGTAACATTAAATTAAAACAGCTAAAAGAAAGAAGATTTAATTTCTAAAAGAAATAAAGTAAGAAACTAAATGAAAAAAAAACAGCAAAAATTCAGTGACTAATGAAATAGTTTATTTTGAATTTACTGTATTGTATATTTAAATTTAAAACGGGAAACAAACCCAAGCAAAGTATATTGTTATATCTTATCGAGGAACCGTGTTTTGCAAAAGCTTTAATATAATATTTAGGGTGCCTACATTTGCTAAATTAGTATTTTACGATTCAAAAACCAAGGAACAAGCAAAATGAGAAAATAAATACAATTACTAAAACCAACACCTACACCTACATACACGAAATAGTAAATGCTTTGATTAAAACGAACCCAAAAAGTTAGGAGCCTCGATTTCCAAAAAGCGAATACACTGAAATATAGGAAAACCGAAATCGGTACCAAAACAAATTAAGAACAGCTAAAGCAAATATTGTATTTGTATTTGAGATATGAATTTTAAGAATGTTTATTAGACTTACGATTTGTTATTTTGTATACATATATATATTATATGTATTATGTATGTAGTATAAACTGATCTGATCTGAAGACGATTGTAATTGTTTTTTTTTTTTGCTCATTAAGCATTTACCTCATAAGAATTCCCACTATTTATAGCAAATTTACCATATTACATAAATCAATTGCTGTACTGTTATAATGTACAATCCCCAAGAAAGCGAAAGGTAACAGGAAGAACCATTAAGAGAAGGAATGTGGTCAATGGAAGTCGAGGGGAAATAGGAAAACTCATAAAACTGTAAATTATTAATTAATAAAGAAACCAAAAAGAGAATAATTGAAATTTTAACAATAATAAAGGGCTTTGTATGAAAGAAAAACAAACAAAAACTGAATAAAAATGAAATAAAAATAAAATATACTAGCACGTGCCCACATTTAATTGGCGTATGGGGCGGATACGAAATGTTGAACATCACCGCATTTCACTGAGAAAAACTGCAGGGCATGACTTCGGTGCGCTATTGAATGTAAACACGAGTGCACATTCTTTGATAACAATAATTTATTCTTTCTGCTCAATATTATCACATTTATAAATGAAGTTTGTACGTAGATTAACAAAAATAAAAAAAAAGGGGTATTTATTTACTGATAGATGCGATATATTCGGTCGAAGGATTGCTTCGCATTTGTGATGGCTTCATAGAGGCTGACAATGGCGTATATAAATAACAAGTGGTTATGGTTAATCGTAATCTCTGATATCCCCAACGATATCCCCACCTCTGATCCCCGCTCCACACAGCCGTTGGTTTACTTGTTGCTGCCGCAGAAATTGGTCAGTTTCCGCCAGAAGAAACCGAGCTTGGACACATCCTTTTGGGTGGCTCTTTGGGCGGCCTTATGATTCTTGAAGATCACCCATTCGCGCCTAGTTTCCGGATTGGCAGGACCCCAGCGTTCGCTGGGCTTCATCGAGGCCTTCAAGGACTGTCAGTGCAGAGTATAGATAGAAATGGATCAGTCAACGAAAGGGCTGGAAGAGGGCAGTCATTACCTTCCAGTAAGTGCCTTGTGGATGGCGCGAGACGTACCAAAGACCCCACAGTGGAAACTGGGCAGCTCCGATGGCAAATAGCAGCCAGCCAGCAACTGAAGTGCACAAGGCGAGGGCAATTTTGGGCAAGTTGAAATCAAGTATATCTACATATCTGCAAGTGTTACTCACTGTTGGCGGCCTCGGGGAAGTAGAGTTCGCTGTATTTGATCGGTTCGATGGTGACCATCGAGTAGATGAATATAATGATCATCATGACGGGCGTGAAGAAGGACCAGCACATTCGCCAGTACAGTGAAACGCGGCGATTGCACATGAACTCGATATCATCGCAAAAGTTTTGCAGACCTGCAAGTATTCTCGTCTGTCGTCAGCTGCACTGTATTTACCTGACTCTAAAGTCAACACTCACCATACACCCACACGATGCCAGCCAGTTCGAAAATAGCCAGGATGAAGACCACATAGGTACCGCCATAGAAGTCCACCAAAGTGAGGATCCACTGACCGCCCTGAAATATTGCACGGAAATGAAATGTCATACGAAAAAGTCAATCGAATGCTCTTCTGAGACTTTAAGAGCATAGAGATCATACCGGCGTAACGTAGACCAATCCCATGAGGAAGCCGCACGCTGAGGTGATCAGCGCCACCTTCCAGTACTTCAATCCCTTGAACTGATCGCAAATGATGGTGACAATGGTGCTCTGCAGGGCCACAATGGACCCAATGCCCAGGACGAACAGCATGAAGAAGAACAGAACCGAGAACAGCTGCGGCACCGCCTTGAACTTTGATATGGCATCCGGATACGAGATGAAGGCCAATCCCGTGCCACTGCGCACCACATCCCTGATATTTTCGATCTGCAGATTGTGCGCCAGATTGCCCAGGATCGCAAATATCGTAATACCACCCAGGAGGCTGGTCAGCGTGTCCAGTGTGGTCACGATCATGGCATCCCTGTAGATACCGTGATCGAATCGATTGTAGGAGGCGAACATGATGATGGGTCCCGAGCCGACGGCCAGTGAGAAGAAGCACTGCACCACGGCCTCCTTCCAAACGGTGGGATTCAAGAGTTCGCCCCACTGAGGCTCCAGGAAGAAGAGGATGCCATCGCGGGCTCCCTCCAACGTAACGGCCCGAATCAGCAGGACGAAGAGCACCACGTAGGGGAAGAGGGCCAGGAAGTAGGCCGCCTTGCCGGAGCTCTTCACACCGCGCATGATCACCAGGAAGATGACCACCCAGGCGGCAAGTAGGGCCAGTGTCAGCTTCCAGTCGGGATCACCAACGCCGTCCGAGATGTCCAGCTTCTCCTTGATCACTACATTTCTGCAAGTGATTGGGTAGGCATTAGTTTCGGGGCAGTGTTGAAATTTCCAGAGAGTGACGAAATTTATTGGCGCAATTCTCGCGAATTTGCATTTGGCACACAAGCGGCAAAACAAAACCAAATAAATATCGCATCGTTACAACTTCTTACTACGGTGACTCGAAAATGTGCTAATGAAAACAGCTAGCCATAGTGAACACAAATCAATCAGCACAAGCAAATAATTCAATTTGTCGTCAATTCCGTGTAAAACAATAATGAGTTGTCGTATGATAAATGCCAGATAATTGTCTTACTTACAGGAAATAGAGTTCGGAGCTGCTTTGCAGTTTCTCTGTCTCCTCGTTGGCCACAGAGCCAATGGCGCTGAAGTTCCTGGCCGACTCATTGGCCAAGGACACGCCGCTTAGCAGATTATCCACATACTCCTGCGGCCTGGAGTTCACGCAGTTGGTCCACTCGTCGCGACAATAGGACCACGGCAACTCCGATTGGAAGGACACAAACAGGTAGTACAGGGTCAGGGCCAGCAGCGATGAGTAGTACGAGATGATGCATATGGTGCCAAAGGCCTGGCCATAGCCCACGCCCACGAATCCCGGCACCACCGACCAGATCTTCACCGTTCCCTGGCTGGTGAACTGGCCCATGATCATCTCCAAATAGTACATGGGCTTGCCTGGAACAGCAAAGGTTGAGATATACCCAGTGATGTCTCGCTAGATATCAGCGACATTCGTACCGATCAGGAAGAGCACTATGATGTAGGGTATGAGGAAGGCGCCACCTCCGTTCTCATAGGCCGTGAATGGGAACCTCCACACATTGCCCAGTCCCACGGACACCGATATGCAGGACATGAGGAACTCCAGGCCATTGCCCCAATTGGTGCGCTCCGGCGTGTGCTTCTCGGCATCTGTTTTCTGCAAAGGAGTGGGTTTGCCGATGTTGATGAGCAAATGCGCCGCAATTCGTGGAATATAAGATTTAATGTCTACAGCTAAATACCAGACACATGGCCAAATATTTGAGCATCCATCATGCCGAGTCTCTGCGACGCTTGGCAAACACGATCCGTTCATGCGTGCGGCATATTCAGATCCAATTGCAGATAACCCACGGAATTGTGCAACTAATGCGCCACCAGACTTCGCCTGATAGTCCATATACCTATGTGCCCAATTTGGTATATTTATCTTAGAACGCCCAATTATGATTAGATTAGAATCAGTTTGAAGTACGCACTCAAGAAAGGCGGCCGGCTTATCGATACGCTATTACGAGCAGTTAAGTACTTTTCGTGTATTCACTTCATCGTGCAAACCACTCAGCGATCGAGGATTCGTTTCCTAATTGATTTAGCTCAACGCACAGCCATAAATCATTTGATTAGCACACTTAGTCTCATTTAATGCGCCTTAAAATTGATTTAAAGTAGGCACAGGCGCTTTTTCCGGTGATTACCTCAGCTAAATTCTATTAATACCACGCCCACTCCATTTAGGGAAAAGCAAAACTTGTCCAGTGCATAACTTTGAAAAGTTCCCCGTCAAATTTACATGCAGCGAATGCATGTCTTATCTTAAAATCAAACTACGAAATTATTAAAATGAATTAGTGTGTCAATTATATAATTAATTCTAGTTAATGACTGAGTCACAATTCCGATATCTAAAATGGAAAATTTTTGCACAAATTACTTTTGTTCGTGAAAACATCTGTCGTTGATAATTGTAACGTGGGGATATAAAAAATTTACTCATTTTCAAGGGTAAAAAAGACCATAAAATGTTAAGAGAATTTTTGGTTTATTTTTGCTTTTCATTTCAATTTTAAAAACAGAACAGTTGAACAAACGAGCAGATGATGATGTATTGTAGTGGTTAAAATGCCAACAAATTAATTCGTTGGTCTACACCACATTACTATTATTATTTGTAATAATATGATGGCCATTTGGCGAAATCTATTTCCATCTATTTGCACGGCAGCCGCAGTTGAGTTTTTGTATTTTTTTGTTTTTTATCAGAGAACTGGAAACGCGGGAACTGTTTTGCCGCTTACATATTTGTTCATTCGGAAAAAGCTGTTTAAATAAAACAATAACACAGCTGGCAGAGTGGGCGAGTGGGCGGGGCAGGGCGGTAAGCCAGGGCAATTACGAAGGTAAATGGCAAAGAAACTGCATCATCATAGATATGTCTGTACGAGTATCTATGAAATAGCCGAAACCCAACTGTTTGCTTATCCAAGTTTATCTGCAGAGGCAAATCCCAACCTCTCACTACCTTTCCATTTGAAAATATACGAGTATACTGGTTGGATATTTACCAGCAGGCTGTTGAACCTAAGTGAATTTTTTGCTTTTTGTAGAATGCATAATTGCGGGGTTTTTTCTGCACGCTGTGAAAAAATGCAAACTTGGGAACAGCCTCAATTAGCCATCAATAAAACCAATGCTGACCGCACTTTAATGAGGCTTTGTTCTGGACCGTCAATGTCAGTTTGCGAGGGGCTTTCCGCCAGGGAAAACCCTGCAATTAAAACTCAACTATTAGTATAAACTTCAACGATCTGTGCAGCAACTGCATTTTGCATGCGAGCAGAGTTCTGTTGGGGGATTACCCATGCCCATAGGGGATATATAGTTAACTATGCCCTGTTCAGATGTATTTATAGAAATATAGCTTACAAGCGGCGGCAAGAATCAATTTTATATAGCTGTATCTTCGTATCTTTTTACAATGCATTGCACTTTCTGGGAAATGCTGCAATATATAATAGAGGGCGGCGAAGTGAACTTGTCACTCCACAGAGCACCCGTCTATATTATAGGTTCGTCATATGTTTATGGCTGCTGCAGTGAAAACTGGTTTCCAGCACTACGGCCATATAGCGAATATAGTATAGCTTTCGCTGATCTCGAGCGGTGCGCTAGTTGGCCAGATAACTAACGATTCTGGCTCATTCTTGGGCTGAGAATAGCTCTACCTAGACATTCATGTGGCGTGTATGGAGTATTCGGCTGACAAAGTCTTTCACCCCACATTGGGGTGGACCGCAGACCGTAAATCGCATATTCGTTTGTCGGTCGATTAGCCTGCAATTAAAGTCTAACAGCCTTAATGATCATAAAGTCATTTGGCGATCGTAAAGGCCACACTGCGCGCATTCGCAAGGACGGATATGAAGAAGGGCCAATCAAAGCATAATTTCGGTTGAAAGTCCATTGGAGTTTTATAAACTTTATCACAGGTTCGCTAATGTTCCGTGTATAGAAGATATATTGTGCTCCGTACTACTTTCTTGTACTAAGCGGCGTATACTTAATGTACCAAATGATGAACAGTTTTTAATCTGAATCGCTGGCCACTTGAGTTCTTCAAGTGCCCTCTCGAAAGCGATCCATTAGGAATATTATTAGTTTCCTGATTTTGTATTTTTTTGTTATCTAGACTTACTTCCGTTGATGCAGCATTGGTGGTTCCATTTCCATTCGCGCTGCCATTTGATGGCTGAACTCCTTTCAATTCCATTAGTGCAACCACTTGTTAATTTTCCCGGTTAATGAAAAACAGTTAGACGGTTACTCGCGTTTTGCTTGTTTAATTGCAGTTGCTTTGTTGTGTTTAATACTAATTAGCACATTGCATTGGCCAGCCCCCTTGGTTGCGCTTGGTTGGTAACTGCTCCAACTGCAGTTTTCAGGGTCTCTAGTTTTCTGTAATATTTTCAGATTTCGAATTTGGGGCTCCTGGGCTTTTCGGCTCTTGGGCTACGGCTTTTCTGGCGGAGCTGGAGGCGCGCTTGTGGTGCCGTGAATGCCGCGGCTGGAACTGAGAATACTGCGAGTGCCGGCCGCTTTAAGAACCGCCAAAGTCAAGCAGCGTTTTGCCAGCGCTCAGCAGGTAATAAGCGTGAAATTATTCACACACATATGTATGTACAAGTACATATAGCCGTGCTTTATACCCGACTGGCCGGTATGCCAGTACTCGATTAGATGGAAAACTTCGGCTGCTCTTCGTTGGGTGATCGGCGCTCGGATAAGGAAGTATCCACCGAGTGGCTGAAGACATCCGCACCGAGTGTACCCGAAAATGTGGAACATCAAGTGGGGCAAAAGCGTCCATGTTTGTTGCCCAAAGTGGTGTCATAGTACGAGTAAATAAGTCATTAGGTAAATGTTTTCCATTTCTGTAATATCATCCAGCGTTCCATTCAAATTACCTATGAGATAAGCTGGGAATTCCACGTTACTTGAAAAGCTGCTGGTGATAAAGTTATGAAGTGATCTTTTCTCTCTGGGTGTAAGGAAACCCCGAATGCGAGCTTTTTGCTCGTTGATATGACAGCGGATACCAAGATAGGCAGATATAAATCAGCTTTGGGGATGCCTGCATTTATCAAACCAAAAATAGACCAACGGCCAACGTATGTGGGGTCCACTGTACGGCGCTACAAGGGAAACACTTGGACTTCGATAAAAACCGGCAGGCGAGTACAAAACCAAAAATGGGCAGCAGTAGTAAATACCTTCAGATAGACGGACCCGCCCAGACCCAGACACAGTAAAAACACTTTGTGAACTTATCCGAACCGGCCGTGACTGGCCATTTTCCACATAGATTAGGTCGGCGGAGAAATCACCCAGAAAATGACCAATCGAATGAAAGGGAAACAAAAACAGAACCGCAGACAAAACCAATTAGGAGTCGATAATCGGCGGTGTAATTAGGTTGGCACATATAGATTTGGAAAAAATTCCAGTCTTTGCTCAATGAAAGTTTTACGATCCGACCACCGCTCCTGACCAGTTTCCAATTTTAGCCGAATCTTTTGCCACTAACTCTGACGCAGAGTTCTCCTCCTCCTGCTCCAACTTCGATATCGCAGTCGTTTAACGAGTATATCCAGCACGATCCGAATCGAATAGTGCGGCAATAAAGGGTTCCTTTGATCAATTTCATTGTCATGGGAATGGGAAATCGACATTATTGGGGGGATCGCAAACCATATCGGGCTAGCAGGATGATGACTTCGACTTCCTTATCGCGCCATTCATCACGTCAATCCCGCTTTTTGGATAAGAGCCCTTGACACGGGTAAGCACATAAATTATAAAATTAGATGGCACGTTTAGCTTAGAGGTCCATAAAACTGGCGATATCTCGCCCGATATGCCACTTCCTGGGGATAATTGCCCACCGCGATCCAGCTGAAAGATATAGTTTGCTTTTGAAATGATCCAAGAAGACGGTTTATTCCTTTTTCAATGTTTTTATTTTAATGTACTTGCATTATATTTAGTTAATAACTAGATTTGTAAATTATTCTCACTTGAATGCGTCTATAAATTAAATCTTATTCGTAACTCTTGTCTCTCAGCATTACTAGATAAGAAAAAAAAAGTAGAAGTACCACACATACATACGATGATCTTTGAGGGAGGACACACTCTTCTCTTCTTGCTATCGACTAAGATTAGTTTCAATATGTGCTCTACATCATGTCTGTTGTGTTTGCATTATCTCTATGTCAGTAAATCAGTTTATCAGTTAATCAGTTTATCAACAATTGTACAAGTGACAAATCTACAATGAATTCGATAAAAACACCGAGAACGTTGACAACTCTGGCGCATACAAATTGAAATTATTCTCTCATCTTGTCTAATGTTTAATTCTCCATTTAAAAGTAACAAATAATAGGTATTTAGTGTTCCATAGGCTAAAATGTAGTTCTCTTTCAACCGAATTTCCAAAGGCGACATTAAAACGAGGATCCATTAAACGAATTTGCACTAAAATGTGGAAGGCAGCGGGAGGGGGCGGAGGGGGCTGGAGACCCCCACTCGCCAGAAACCTCCTTGGCCCCTCCAAAAGTTGATCAAGTCAATGTTTTAGATTAGGATAACAATAAGAATGAACTACTTTTAATTATCATGTAAATGATAGCATAATTACACAAGAAATATCTAAAAACAAACAGCAAAAAAAAGAAGTAGTAATAATAATAATAATAATAATGGTATAATGATAGCATTAACTATAATAATTGTAAACTACCGTAGAAGAAGAAAAACACTCCAAGTCTTTCATGTTGATCAAATAGATAGATATTGTGTGGATCATCACTTGTACGTTATATTATCTAAGTAATTTAATTATGACGATGACGACATGAGTACGATGACGACGACTATTAAGCTGAATTATGATTTAACCTGAAATCTTTATAAAACGATTTAGAAATTTATAGTATTTCCGTTGCTGCCGATCATTTGTCAATGTAAAATACATTTGAAATAAAACTCTATTCTTGTCAACAAAATAAATATGATTTACATGATTGGTTTCTTGATTGGTTGGTTGGTTGGTTGGTTAGTGTGTTATTGTGTTATCGATGTTGTGTTGTTGATGTTGTTGTGGCTGTGCTACACTTAGAACAATTCTAGCTAATATTGCTGCTAGGGTAGACACCCAGAATGGCTAGCTTAAAGCGATAAGTTTGCAGCAATTTGCTTGCTTGTCGTTTTAAGAAAGTTCCCTTGCTTATACAAAAGAAGTTTGAAAGAAAGGCATTTAGAGGTTTTCACTCCTTCTTTTCAATAGGCTAGTTTTGGTAGCAACAATTATTGTTTCTCATTTTTTTTTGCATTTCTTTGTCTGTCAAAATGGATTTTATTTACAATGGTTTGGGGGGAAAGTATCCATTTCTTTATGCATTCAAGGTTTTTCTGTTTTTTTTTTTGTTTGTTTGTTTTGTTTGTTATGTTTGTTTGTTGACTAACAATGGCACACACGCATATATACTTGCCAGAAAAAGTATGCGTACACACTCAATGCATAACTGAAAAAAGAAATGAAGTCGATATCATTTATATAAATATACTTTTTTGCCATCAAAGTTATGCATTGGGTGGTGTACGCATATTTTTTCTGACAAGTGTATAGTTAATTAGAATTTGTAACGTTACTCTGTCTGCATTTAAATGGTTTCTTTCTTTGTTAGGCATTCTGTGGCTTTAGTGCGGGTGTGGTGTGGTGAGGTGAGGGGTTGCTGCTCCTTAAACTTCCTTACAGCTCCTAACTCCTTCATCTCCATTTCATCTCCAAGTTTCAGCTGTTCGAAGTAATCTTGTACTTTTCGCGGTTGAGTAGTTTCAGTATGAAAACAAATTAACAAAAAAATATATAATGCATGTAAATATATGAAGTGATCGATCAGATATTATCAGATGTTTAAAAAAGCCTAATATAATATTTACAGATCTCAGCAAATAGCAGCATAAAACTAAAATTATGTCAGGTTTTTCCTTTCATTTTTACCCAGAGATATATTTAGTTCTCATTTTTTTTTTCTTTTTTCTGTATATCTGATTAACGCTTGATATTTTAATTAGGTTTAATTAGTGTATTTTTGTTTTTGCATTTCGTTAACGTTATAAAAACTATTTACACTAGGTAGTAATGCCTACTTATAAACTGAGTATGGTAATATCTTAAGCGGTTCGCTCTCAAATCCGACAGCTCTAGCCGATCCGTAGGATGCCCGCCCGCCCATGTGCCAGGTGCCATGTGGTCACAAGTCATAACCTAGCTGATCTTCCCCCCATTTTGGTATCCAATCCTGGACAGTCAGCAAACAAACGTTTGCCTTGTTGTGTAATATGTGTGGGTTAGTGAGGTGTTAGGTGCTCTTACTCATATATGCGTGTGTGTATTCTGCGTTTTTGTTTTTGTTTTTTTTTTTGGGTGTTGTTTATGTAATGATTAAGGGGGCTCTCTCTAGGCTCAGTCGCAATCTACAACGTAACTAACGTTTCTTATTCTTTTGTTTTGGGGCCTCTGCAATTGCCAGATCTTTTGGAATCGGCCAATAGCTATATGCTGTGTGCTACATGCTAACTGCAAAAGCTGCATACGAAATCCTTGATCCGAATCCGCTTCTTGGAGCCTGTTGCGCAAGACTCAAGTATTCAACAAAAGTTGCACTGCCAAGTTGCTTGATTTGGGTTTGAGTGATTGTTGTTTAAGTTTGCTTTTAAGTTTTCATATAGTTCTTGGTTGCTAGTTGAGTTGTTCACTAAGGCTGTTAGTCACGCATCTCCACCCACTTTGCGAGGTTTCTGGCGACCAGCTCCTTATTGATAAAGATTACATTCTGCAATTAGAAACAAGAGTTAGAAATTTTCTGTACCAGAAAAGGTTTGCACCTTTTAAAAACAGACGGGAGTGGGGTGCTCCCCTTTGCTTTTAAAAAGGTAACTTATGTTTACAAGTCGAAGTAAAGTTGCATAACAAATCAAATGGCTAAGTTAGCTTGCTCACAGATTTGGCATCCCAAACTTTAAGAATATTTTGAGTATGAAAGTGTTTAAAGTATTGTAAGCAAGTTTCAGATTGAAACTGTTTTGCCATTATGTCACGCACTGTCATCAGCTATCTTACTCTTTATAATCACTCCGTCTCTCTTTAATCGGGAGTTAATACTCACATTGGGACCTAGGGATGCGAATAAATAGATTTCTGGTATGTTATGACTATTGTAGCCGGCGACTTGTGCTTGCAAGACAATGCCTTTGGTAAGTTGGTTGAGGATTTCGGCCGCCTCGATGGACCAGGTGCCACCTGCGAGGAAAATAACGAAATCACGGATTGAGTACACAGAATAAGGGTAATAAAGCGCACACACTTACCGATGGGCTCAATGTTGGACAGGATGCATTCGGTGGCCTGGAAGGGCACATTCATGAAATCGGTGCGGATCTGTCGCAGTGTGCTGAAACCGACATTCATGTAGCCACCAAAGTCGAGGAATTTGACCAGGCAACGCTCCTCGTCCTCGGGATCTGTGTCTACAATCTGGACGCGATACCACACCCCATTGATGGGTATCACGCATACGGCACTGACCTCCAAACTGGGCAGCAAGGGCGCCTCCATGGTGGAGTAGCTATCGTACAGCTGCTTCTGCAGCATAGGCAACGATGGATGCGAAGGATGCAGCGGGTGCTGGATGAAAACATGCGACCCAGAAAGCACCGCACTAACCACCACATCGTTGTTGATGCCCTCGATCAGTTTCAGCTGCGGAGGAGGAGTTAGCCAAGGCATTAGAGATATATGGATGAATGGATGGATGGGGACTCGAAATCGAAGCCTTTCGATTGCGCCGACACGACAGGAACAGCAGTGTCAACCACTTAGAGAATTAGAAATAGTCTCTGCGTATTCAACGGGAGGAATACTACCATAAAATCATCAAATCAAGTCAGCTAATTAGCCAGCTAATCAGCTATAGCCATGTCGTGTCGGCGGCATCGTAACCATTGTCATTGTCATCGTCACACCATCACCACTCACTTGTAGATTGTAGAGGGTTTCGGTCGAGAGAGGAACTATGGTCTGGGGAAGCGCAAAGTGGATGCGTTGCATGGTGAAGTTCGGATACCGCTTGGCCGGCAAACGTTGACGGATCATGGCCAGAGCGGCATCAATCTCGCTCTCCGTTCCCTCAATGGTGCAGATGCGCACCTTGCCCGAGTAGGGATTCTTGCTTAGAGCCACGCTGGCCAGGGTTTTGGCCTTGATTTGGTTTATAAACGCCCGCTTGCGGCCGTACAGGTGACCAATCAGGCTGATAGGGAAGAGGAACTCGTAACTGGTCTTCACGCGTGTCGCCTCCGAGCGCGGCAAGCTGGATCCTTTGCCAGAATCGCCCGATTGCACACTGCAAATGCTCAGCGATGGACTGGCCGCATCCACATTGCGCTTCTGGTTGCCATTGCTATCCACCACTTCCTCCTTCAGCACCGTCTGCTCCTGAACCTGGTCGAGCACCTCCTGATCGGCCTCCTTCTTGGTGGGCTCCTCCTTGGAAGAATTCTCCTTGGGCTCACAATTGTTGTTTTGCTCACACTCCTTTGTGGCATAGTTGGTATCCAGGAAAGAGTTCTCTGGCGATATCTTGGGTGTGCGTGTGGCCTTGATCACCACCGGTTCCACCGTCTTTTGGCTAGTCTTACGATTGTGGAAGGATACGCGTGTGTTTACCGAATCGGGTAAATCGCGTGGCGACGATAGATTTTCGAAATCCTCGTCTATGGAGCAGAGTTTCTTATGTTCGGCGTCTTGTATCTTTGACTTCAGCATTTCTGAATCAATCTGCTGCTGATGTTTGCCATTTGAAGTGCGTCCATTGCTCTGGATTTTGATTGGTGCTGATTTACCATACAGCATGGTAGTGGGACTATCCTTCTCATCACTGCTACTTCCGCTTCCGCTTCCGTTGCCTAAAGTTCCATTAATGTTCATCGACTTGCTGGCCGGCTGCTGTGGCAGCTTACCATTCTGCAGGACACCGTTGGCCTTGCGCGCCTGCACAGTGGGCTCAATCGACGAGTCATTGATGGCCGATGAGTCGTCATCGTCGGGCTTGTCTAAACGATTTTTATTTCTACGCCGAAACCAAAAGACGCCGAGTATAAATGCTACACCGGGCAGTGAAAGGTAGAGTAGAGGACGACCGGATACCATTTTCGCTGAATATTGAAGGATCTGGAAGGGAGAAGGTTTGTTATCAGGGCAACAAGGTCTTATCAGGGCAACAATTTACAAATCAAGTAGCGTCGTATATAATTACTTAAACAGCTTGTCATGACACAAGATAAGAAATGGTACACAATATGCAGTGTTGTCGAATATTTTAAAAATTTGAATGAAGTGCTTTGAATTTGCGTTTAAATTAAGGAAAGAATGACAAATATTTAGTCAATTTTGAAGAATAATGTGAAAATCATGGCTTAAGTTGCCAAAACCATCCACATGACCATTGTTTTAAAATTACAACTACAAATATGTTGTTATATTTGAAAAACCTATAAAAAGGTTTTGAATTGGATTTGCAAATCACGAGACCCGCGTGCATGTGCTCGTTTGCATAAGTGTGCGTGTGTGTGTGTTTGCCAATGTGTTTCATTTTGGTTTTTTTCCTTTCTGAACTTTTGCGTATAAATAGCAACAAATAAATACGTAAATAAAGACAACAACACAAATGCCGAGAGAGAGAGAGAAGCGACGAAAAAGGTGCAAAGCGATTTTTGAATGCCACGCGGAAGGGAAAAACGCAACGGGAGAGAGCGAGAGAGATGGAGCGATAGATCGTTTGCAAAGAGCGCGTGCGCAAGAACGCCAAAGAGTGACGGCGAAGAACGGAAGAGAGGCGTATGAAGAAACCGTTACGTTTACGTATGGCAATGGCAAATGTTACGAAATCATTACAAAACAAAACTAAAAGTTACGAAAACGACAGATTTGCCAGAAATTCTTCACCTCTTTACTAAATAAATCTGTGTTTTTATATCACTACTAGGATACAACTGATTTCGTTGCTTCTTCCGGTTTCGTTTGTATTTTTTGTCGTTTTATGGCAATCAACTCGCTTCGGCTTATTTTTTGGAGTTTTTTCTGTTATTTTGTTTATTTTATTTTTTTCGGTTTCGAAATGCCGGCGAAATTGTTCGAGAGATTCGAGATATCGACTGCTCGATATATGAAGGGAAACTACTTTGCCCGCCTTCTAATTGCCAATTCCTCAGGCTTTTTATTTTTATTGTTTTTTTTTTTATTTCAGCACCGATTCTCCGCTCTTCACTCCATCCGCTCTTCCGCATCTGTGGTCCCCACCCCCCGCGCAAAAAAGAGAGGATGCGTGGTGGCAAAAGTTTTTTTTAGCGCCCCTTTCCACCCACACACTCACATATCCCTCCAAGTGGGAAAGAGACAGAACGGTGGAGAGATGAAGAGAGAGTAGCGAGCTCATTAGAACAAAGAAATTCAAAAAACCGTTATTCGAAATCCATTTAAATGCGTTGTAAAACGCTCCATCAAATTTCGTCAACATTGTCGCACAGTGGGACAGAAAAGAACTAGTCAAGCTGAACAGCGGTTCAAACCAATTAAATCTTTGGTTCGCTAATTTATTCCAATTTTGTGATCATTACATGTTCATTATGTTTAATAAACTTTACTCCCAATAGAATTAATTTCCACCACTGTACTGAGTGCTTCCACTACGTCAATATCGTCACTTTGTTAGGGCCCAAAGGTCCTCGGGTTCCCAGTGGACAGATGATAAGCTCAATAGGCAAGCAACCGAACTACACACATACGTACATACTATGCATGTACGCATATATGTATAGCGACAGATCACCGGTTGGTGGGGGTGTGCAGGGGGGTGGGGGATAAGGGGCCTAGTGGGGTGCTATAAAATGCCCACGGAAGGGCAACTGGCCAGACAGCTGTGGCATTTCCTAATCGTCGAAACCGGGTGACGGGAATTTTTTCAGATTACGTTTTATACCCTTTACAGGCCGTACTTTAACTTGTTGACTGAGCTTGAAACATTTTGAATAAAATTGATATGCATAATACCAGGGCGAGGTGTCTAGTTTTAGTTTTAGTAGGCAAAGATATTTGGTATGAAGTAAAACGACAAAATGTATATAAGACAAGGGCACACCAACTTCGCGATGGTCTTCTAGCTTTATTTTTTTTATTTTCTTCACTGTAAGCTTGTTTACACATGAATATTGATGTGCGCGTGTGTTTGTATGTGTGTCTCGGCATGCAAACAAACATGTTTAGGCTTGTTTTGTGTGTGCCTTTCGGTTATTTGTTATTTTTTGACTTTGAACTTGCACATTGTTGTTGCTTCAAACTCGAATGCCCGTACGGCCGAAAGAAGAAGAAGCAGAAGAGGAAGCCGACGAACGGGAAGGTGAAGCAACAGCCTAAAAATTTTAAATTCCCCCCTTTCAAACTCCGAACGAGCAAGAGCGATACAGAGAGGCAGACCAAAAGAGAGAACCGCAACAACAACAAGTCAGGTGCAACAACATTGCCAGCTAGCCGAAAAAAGTCCACATTGTTATAATCTTGGCAACGTGGTTTCCGATCATATGGTGGCCAAAAATGGGCGGGGATTGTATAATCGGGGGAAATACCTCCTTTATATACATATATACATAGATGCAATGTATTTTGTGGGAGTGGCAGCTACTTTTCGCCTTTGCTCTCTTTCAGGCTAAAAAACCGAAAATTAACGGTGAAAGCTGTAACACACAGACGCTCTTATGCTCAGCATATATATATATATATATATATATATATATATATATATATATGTGTGCCGCGTATAGGTATGTGTGAGTAATAGCATTGTGTAATCGCTGATTTGAACTCCAAATTTTTTCCATAGCCACCCACTGTCACTTTGCCGGAACAACAACAACCACAGCGGCTAAGGCGCACACTGAACAAAAACTTGACTGAACAAAATTAAGAAGTGTAAAGGGGCCAGAGAAACAGGGGAAGCGGTGCGAATAGAGCTCAAGACACGGACAGTGGAACCAATCCGCACAGAACAGAACATGACACCATTTTCCATCTCATCGCTCTGTTTTGGCAAACACACACACGCACTTTTTTGTACTAGGTTATGTTCCGCGTGCTGAGACTTCTTACCTTTGGGAACCGCTTGGGTAACTTATATTGCTCACTATTTTTGGGTGCTTTCAATGCTATCGACTGCACACGCGTGTTGTGTATTGTTTTTGCTTATTTACTGGCGATGTAGTGTGGTTTTTTCAACGTTACAGAGCTGCACGAATTAAACACGTGTCTACGTTCCACCTTTTACAAATCACAATAACATGGCCGGCGTGCGGCAGTGTTGCCATCCCTTTGCGAAACTCTGGCAATCGGAGCTGCCTGCTTAATCACGCGCACTCGCGGCAGCCAAATGCCAAAATTGTAAGCGCCGTGCACACGAAAAAAAAAGAAATAAACACTTCTTGGTTGGAATTGCACCCGGATTGTTTGTACAAAGCCGAAAAACGTGTGTACGGAGCGCTGGTCATCGAAAGGAATGGCAGCACATGCACAGACAGGGCTGCTCACGCTTATCGATAGGTATCGATGGGCCCGGCAACTCAGCTATGGCGACGTTGCCACCTACTGCGCAAAGGTGTAGGCAATTGCGCGATATTTCGAAACGATAGTTTCAATGTTTTCGCAATTTAAAATTAAAAAAATAAATTTTTTTTGTCAGGACAGTCATTCTTTCCAGCTTTATAGGAGCAGATAATCGACTTCAATATCTTCTCTATATTTCACAATATATTATTAAAATTTTTCTTTCTAATTTGTACATTGCGATGTAATTTTAAGGAAATTGTATGTAAATGTATATAGCGTTCAGCCAGATAAAAAAGAACAATAACCAAACAAACCAAATAAATAAATAAATAAATTGAATATATAGAACCCAACTAATTTTTTTTTAAATGGGTAAGAGCAACTGTTTGAGAAAGGACCATTAGCAGTATGAATCAAAATCAGTTAATTTAACTATAAGTACAATTAACTTAAAGCTTAAAGATAAATATTGAATATTTTCATATATTTCAAAAACGTTCAATAGTTTCTGACAACCGCTCAACCTGGCCACACTCGGGAACTGCAACCAAAATAGGCAACGGTCACACTTGGTCACGTCGCTCACGTTTTCTATTTACGCACATACGAATAAAAAGCGCATAGAAGTGCTGTCAAACATATATGTTGTATGCTCATGTGGAAAGGATTTCGCAGCGTGTAAATATAAGGTAGTACGCAGATTCTGAACAATTCGCGCAAAGCCAGTGGCTGCTGTGCATGTGTGTGTGGGCAATCTCAGTTCGTGTCTGTGTGTGCGTGTGTGAGTGTATGAGCGGAGTCCTTTGGATTTCCGCGAAATCACCCAAAAAGTGTAATACATATATGTTTGGGTGGCCATACATCCGTGGGGGCGGGGCTTGCGGGGGCGCTCAATATCGTTGACTGGCGCGGGGCGACGAACTTAACCTCAAATCCTGGGTCAATTCCAAACGTGACGAAAGACAACAAAGCAAACAAAGCGTATAATGTCAGTCAGTCGGTGCGAGTTCAAATCGAAATCGCTGTCACAGTGTGTTCATAACGCTTGCAATACATACAATTCAAAATCTTTGATTGCAACACTACGTATTTCCTGCAGAGCGCGTCCACAAGGAGGCCAAGGCCAAGAAGGTGCTCGACATGGTAAAAAAGCGTCAGGCGGACAATCACGACCACGAAAGCTCAACGGATTCCGGCGATGAGGAGCTGCACCATCGGAACGCACTTGGTTCCGCCGGCCAGGTTGATGGCGCCACGCCCACCACCGCCAGCTGCCAGCACATTAAGAAGGCGGTGGACGCGACCCGGCTGAGGCGTCTACTAAAGTCCACGGGTCTGCTCTATGAGTGCAGTCAGTGCCAGAAGCTGGGCAAGACCGTGGGCACCAGCGGTGCGGGAGCGGGAGAAGGAACTGTCGGCTCTGGCGGAGATCCCGGCGACTTTGAGTTCGACAGCACCCTTTGGCTGTGCCTCAAGTGCGGCACCCAGCTGTGCGGAAGGGCTCGTCACAAGCACGCCTTAGAACATTACCAGGTAAGCTGTAATCCAAGCACTCCATTTAGCTTAAGTCATATTCCATATGTCAGAAGCTTTATTCCTCTGTGTGTTTCAGACACCTCATTCGGACTCGCATGCCCTAGCCATGAACACGCGCTCTTTTGACATTTGGTGTTATGAATGCGACATGAAGATCTGCTCCAATCTGCGCAAGAATCTGCTGGAGTGCGTGGAGCTGGTCAAGAAGTTGGCCCAGAAGCCGCCCACCGCCACGGTTACGCCCAGTCCGCCCACGATTAGCTACATCGAGCAGAGGATTAAGGCCACGCTGGAGCACCTCACACCGATCGTGCCAATGACTGGCGGATCATTTGACGACACCGGCGGAGGAGGGGCTCTGGCGGTGGGCGCGGGCGGAGGATCGCGAAGCAGCCAGGTGGCCATACCGATGCCACCACCGCCGCCCAGTTCCGGACATTCGCCATCAGATTCGCTGACAAGTGTGCCGGGTATGGCAAAGAGAATTGGTCAGTACTTCTCCACCACCAATGGCAACACTGGGGACAGCCGAGTCCTGACCCTGGAGACGCCGCGTATCGAAATGGACCGTCTGCCCCGCGTGCGAGGCTTGACCAACCTGGGCAATACTTGCTTCTTTAATGCGGTGATGCAGTGCCTCGCCCAGACGCCGTTCCTACTTAGCGTGCTTAGAGAGCTGGCGGAGCCCGGAGAAGAGTAAGTCCATAACCGAAAATGTTAATGTAAAGCAATTGTATTTGATGTGTACTTATTTCAACAGATTTGTCCTACCTGGAGGAACATTCAACATAAAGGACAAAGGAGACATTGAGCTGCCCATGATCAAGGGTACCCTCTCCTCTTGGGGCGGACTCACCGCCGCGTTAGCCAATGCCCTTGAGGAACTGCAGGCTGGCGGTTGTGTATTTACGCCCAGCAAGCTCTTCGACAGGCTGTGCATAAAATGTCCACAGTTTACGGGCGGTGATCAGCATGATGCTCACGAACTACTCCGCCAGCTGCTGGAGAGCGTGCGGAACGAGGATCTTAAGCGCTACCAGCGTGTGATTTTGCAGAACCTCGGCTACAAGGATCAAGATGTCAATAGTGTGTCAGAGGAGATGCGACAGAAGTGCAAGATCTACGGCAACCAAGCAGGAGACCGCATCCTGCGCCCGGAGCAGGTATTCCGTGGCTTCCTAGTGTCGACGCTCACCTGCCAGGACTGCCACAGCGTGTCCTCGCGCCACGAGTACTTCCTGGACATGTCACTGCCCGTGGCCGTAGAGAAGCCTCAGCCGCCGCAGCGCCGAAAGCCGAGTCCGGAGCTCAATCCAGCGACCAGCAGCTCCAGCGGCACCCAGACCTCCAGTCAGCCGACGATAAACACCAAGTTTACGGATGGTAGCGTTAACTTTACAGTCTCCATATCCTTCTTCCTGCACGACGGTGAGGAGGGATCCCTGGGCCCGTCCAAGTCGCAGGTGAAAAAGGAAAAGGAACGCGAGCGTAAGGCAAAACGGGCAGCCAAGCACCAGCGCCACAAGCAAACCCAGAAGTTGAGTCTTAAGCTAAACGGGAATGACTGCGGAAATGATTGCGCCGAGTCCGGAGAACAGAGCGCTGCTCCATTGGCGTCCCTGGGTGCCGGCGATGGCCAGGCTAACGATGGCCCCGAACAACCCAAGGTCCAGACCGAGGAATCCACCTCCTCCAGCGTGACTACTTCGGAGCACTCTGACGCTGATGTCGAGGACAATCTGGTGGAGGACTCAGCCCCGCCGTCCGCTACTACTGTGTCCAGCAGTTCGGCATCCTCGACAGCTCCCTCCAAGTTATACACGGACAGCAATGGCAATGCCCAGCAGCTGGGCGAGAAGCGCGACGACACGCCGGAGCACATGGACAAGGATTCGCTCGAAGAAGATGAGAATGGTGAGTGAAATAAGCGTCTTCCATACTGAATTCATATACATATCATATCATATTATGTATGTTAGTCCAAGATTTATTTATTTGTATATACTTGACTTTGGTTGTATAATTATTAAGATTGCATTCGCTTGCAAGTTGATTTGCTTAATACAAAACAGTGGTCGTGATTAGCATTGCTATGCGAAAGTTGGGTAATTGCCTGATATGATTTTATTACATACTGACTGGTCGACTTTCATTTCGAACGCTTGCAGACTCGGGAATCGCCACCAGTCCAGCACCAACTGCTACCAATAGCAGCACCAGCACCAATGCCACCGGAAACAACAACTCGGGTTCCGGATCTGGTGCTCTCGAGGCTGCCTCCACGCCAGCGAGCCTGGTCAGTGCCGGACTCTCAGAGAAGGGCGCCTCGCTGATCCGCCAGATCTCAGTGGGCGCTGAGCAGGGTGCCCCCAATGGCACTGCAGGCGCGAATGGAGAAGCCAAGGCGAACACGCAGCCAGCGAAGACTACTAATCAGGCCCAGAGTCAGGCCCAAGCCTTGGCTAAAGCCCAGGCCCGTGCGAAGCGAGTGCGCACGCAGAGCTACTCGGACTGGAGCACCACGATAGCGCCACGCTACCAATGCGAGGATGGAGAGTGCTCCGTGCAGTCGTGCCTGAACAATTTCACCGCTGTCGAGCTGATGACGGGACAGAACAAGGTGGGATGCGAAAGCTGCACCCAACGCATCAATGGCAGCGATCCGAAGGCTAAGTCGGTGAACACCAATGCCACGAAGCAGCTGCTGGTCTCCAGTCCGCCAGCGGTGCTCATACTGCACCTGAAGCGTTTCCAGCTGGGACCGCGCTGCATCTTTCGCAAGCTGACGCGCCCGGTCAGCTATCCAAATTTGCTGGACATTGCCGCCTTCTGTGGCTCCAAGGTAAAGAATCTGCCAAACATCGATCGCAAGCAGAAGAAGCTGTTGTACGCCCTATACGGCGTGGTGGAGCACTCGGGCGGCATGTACGGTGGCCACTACACGGCGTACGTGAAGGTGCGTCCCAAGGTGACGCCGGACGATAAACGCTGGAAGTTTCTGCCGCACGGCAGCAAGGCGGAACTGGACCAGGACGATGATCAGCTAAAGAAATTGGAGGAGCTGCTTGCCAAGGAGAAGGCGCGCGAGCTGCATCTGAAGGCGATGGACGACAGCGATGACTTCAGCAATTCCAGCAGCAACTCGTACACCTCCGACGAGGGCCATGCCCCAACCACGCCGCCCGAGGAGCAGCAGCCGCAGCAGCAGGAGGAGGCCGCCAATGTGCATGCGCCGCCTGGCAAATGGTATTACGTGTCCGACTCGCGTGTCCAGGAGGTCAGCGAGGATACGGCCCTAAAGGCGCAGGCCTATCTGCTCTTCTACGAGCGCATATACTAAGGACTAGGTCACGCTATAAGCGAGACGGAGGATGCGAGGCAGAGGGAAGAGCGACGGGTATCCTAGATCTGAGACAGAGATAGAGACAGAGACAAAGACAGAGACAGACAGAGTGCCGGAGAAAGAGAAGGCAGCTACTCACACATGCCAAATGCATTTGGTTTCTCCCACTCAAAATTAGTTGTACATCTTCGTATTTTTTTTTTTTTGGAACAAGCTTTAGTTAGTTAAACAAAACGATGGAGGAAACACACGCACTCATTTTAAATTGTAGTTCTCAGGAGTTTGGCTTTTGGGTTCTCGTTTTACATGTACTTTTTTTTTAGTAGGTAACGTAAAGACACTGAAGGGAAATTTTCATGTTTTACTAACTGTAAGTTCTTTTGGTACCAACATTGCCCATAACAACGACAGAACGTTGCTTAAACTACCAACACCAGAGACTTGGGGAAAATCGCTGAATGGACAGAAGGAAATCAACACGGAATGGATAACTAAAAACGCAAAAGAACGATGAAAAACGGGAGGGGAAAACCAATAGAGAAACTCTTTGCTGATGTTCATTAGTTATTATAACGAATACGAATGAAATAAAAACCAATTGCTCGCTTCTGCCAATATATTTAACTTTGCAGTAATTTAACTTACTTATAGTACACCTACTATATATATATCAATATATATATATACATATATATATATTTAATATATATACACTATATAACGGGCCCAAATACATACCGCCCACGTAGATATTTACAAGTTCAGCCGAGATGTTTTGATGTTTTGGACCTACGTAGCGAAAGAGTTGGCAACAGGAGAGATTTATACAATAGCGAAAAATAAATAATTATACACACAGTTTATCTTATGACCTAGGCTTAACTATCGATTAAATTATGATAATTAACCAACCATAGACTCTATGTATATTAAAGAGAGAAACGATATATGAACGCAAAAGGTCGCTTGTGATTTCAATAACCCAAAAGCCAGAGCTTCCTTTCACAAAGGGGAAGATCAAGCACCATACCCATCCCACTCTCGCACGTCCAGCTTATCTGCCACCGGGTCTCCACTATCTGCCTTCCATCTGACCCCATTGGATCCCCTCCCATCCCATTCCGTAGCAAATGGCCAAGGTCACGTCGCGTTCGCTCGATTCTACGACGCCTCCACAGGTGCCATCGTCAACCAGTCGCAACATGAAAGCTGCGCTGTTCGGATCGTGGTTCTGGCTGGGATTGGGTGTGGGCCTGCTTCTGGCCGGCGAGTCCGGCGTGGTTTTCGCCAAGCGTTTCCTGCGCTGTGAACTGGCACGCAAGCTGCTCGACCAGCATGGTTTCGAACGCAGTCTGCTCTCCAATTGTGAGTGGGAAACCTATGTATATTGAAATGCACTATTCCGCACACATAGATGATGATGCTCGCAGATGTTCGTTCAGATCAATAGACTGAATGTCAGTAAGTTGTCAGTAATCTTCTGTTACTTATGATTTCGCCCATTTAAGGGATTTGTTTGCTCGAGCACGAGAGCGATCTGGATACGGGCAGGATCACCACCAATCCGAATGGATCTCGGAGCTATGGGTTGTTCCAAATCAATGGCCGGTTTTGTCAGGAGGGCAGGCGTGGCGGCATCTGTAATGCCAAATGCGAAGGTTTGAAGACTCCTAGAAATCGTATTATTCTATTCAAGTTGAACATCTTTTTTGTAGATTTTCTGGACGAAAATCTAAGGGAGTCGGTCACTTGCGCCAAGCGCATCCAAACCACGGATGGTTTTCGGTACTGGGCAGGATGGCTACGATATTGTCGAAACACCCAGAATCTGCCTAATCTTAAGGTCATCTGTGGGATCTAAAAGTAGTTAATTTAATGGGTTGTACAGCGTTATGAATGTTTAAACAAATAAATACTATATACCTTAAAAAATGTCAAAAGGTTAATAGTTTTCCGATCTCCAAGAACTCTAGTTCCAAACTTACCATTAATATAAATAACTGCATCGATAGAATTCCTGAAGAATTCGAGCTGCATACAGTCGGTTGATCCGAAACCAAATCGGTTTCGGAATGTGGTGAGTTTGGCTCCACAAAGCTGGCGATCAGCTTAAAATTATTTCGCACTGGCAACACTACTCTCTCTCTATTTTGTTCTCTGAGATTGGTAAATTATCAAGTAGCGAAAGCTTTAAGCTTTTTCGCAAAAACTTTGTGGGGAGCACTTACGTGGCCCTTTCATTTGGCAACATCGGCCGAACAAATCGGAGCGTTTTTTCGCACGTGTTCACAAGAGATCAAAAAACACATTCAATCAAGAAAATATGAAAAAAGCAAAGTCAAGAAAAGTAAATTCTAGTGCCCAGTGCCAGAGATTCGCTCTCTTATAAAACAAACGCATTTCATATGTACATAGATCTTAAACACTCCCTATGGGAAGTACTTGTGCCTGCTCCCCGAACCCACCACTCCGAACCCCTTATACCACCCACCAATATACGTATATTATGTGACTCATTCCCTGCCCCCAAGACCAGTTCTCAAGTTTGTTGAGGGACTGAAAAAGTATAAATAAGATCCAAAGATCTGATGCCTTAGTCGTTGAGCTGCGGTGTGATAAAGTTGATGCAAAAATTAAAACTCAAGTGTACACATACTTATTTTTTGTTTTCGTGTTCAAGTCCCAGTAACCCATTATGTTTACTCCTATTTTATGAATAAGTGCACCCCTGATATGGTTTCTCAAGAAATCGCACCAAAACACCCTGCTGCATTTGTGTATGAAAATGAAATTGAAAGATGAATTTGGTATTGTTTTCAAAGAAAACAGTTCCAACATTCGTACATTATAAAAGGCCCATTATAAATGTGATACCAATCAAAATATTTATTTGAATCTGTGATATTATTTGAGTTCTGAGTATTTTTTTATTATACCCAATGATTATGAAACTTTAAAGGAAATATATGATAACACAACTAAATATCAGCATTTTCTGATTTATGGTGAAATTCGTAAAAACAACCTTTACAAATATTTGATGTGTTATTAGTAGAATAGTGTTACATTAAAAAAAATATATATAATTTTAAAATTCTTCCAATTAAATCGATTAAATCAAAAGTCCAATCTAAAGAATCGATGATTTGTTAATGAGCTGATCTCTATGCAATAAATTAAATAAATTTATTTAAATTAAACTAAATTAATTTTAAGTGTATTTTTCAAATATAAATACATATACCAAATGGAGAAAATCTGCGTTGAGTTTTTGTTAAAATTGAATTTAAATGCAGGCCAGTATAAAATGTCATTTACAGATGATGATCTTCCTAGTGCACGAGTGATAACTGATCATGGAGCATTATGAGGATCTCCATCTGAGTCTGATCCGAATGATCCCTGATTCCTTCTACTAAATGACCTGTAAAGTGAGTTCGGTTCTTATTTGGGCTGTGAACTTGCCAGGAAAACTGCATTTCCCATTTTCCAGACTGTTCTTTAGCCATTTTGATGTTTTCATTATCTGGCGAAACTCGACATTAACTTAATTTCGTTTATTTGGATCATTTGGATAGGTTTTTTTTTCGCTTGGGGTATTTCATCACATGACGAAACTCTTGAAAAAATTCCCCACTGCCAAAGCTTTTTCCATCGTTTTTCCGGCTTTGCTTTGTTTTGGTAATCGAAGAACGACGCAAAACTACGTTCTTGATAGTAAATTGTGAAAATCAACTTGCAATTTGGCGTTGCTGAGAGGGCGCCATGCTACAGATGAGCCTACCTAACGTGGACCTAGATCCACTTCACTTGTAGTTTCATTGCATGAACCTTACCAATATGTTGCCATTGATAACATTTCGCAGGTATTCAATTATTTTTGTGGTATATTTCATTGACCTAATATAAATCTGGAGTCCACACACTTAGAAAATCCCAAAGGGGTTATCATTTGTATTCAATAACATTTATGCATGTTAAGGTACAATAAGCCTTCCCTCCGATCATTAGGTTTTGCCAAGCGAGGTTCCACTGTCTCCCTATGACTCTCCCTTTGTTCTGCGACGCATTTCGGAGCTCCACCAGTGGGGCGTTCTCACCGCCTCCTTGCCGCTCTGCCGCTCCGCTGCCGCCCACGAACGCCGACGCCCCTGAGCGTATAAAAAGTGCCGGCCGGCGAGCGAATGGCATCAGTTTTCAAGCTTTCAGCTTTGTGGTATAGCGTATCCCAGCGAACTCTAACCCGTAGAACCAAGCAAACGCAGCTGATATTACACCAGTGTAGGCAAACCGTGCAGAAGCGATCAACATGAGCGAGTTGCCCAGAATGCAGCAGCAGCAACAGCAGCAGCAGCAGGATCAGGATCGGGAGAAAGCTTCCCAGGAGCTGATCGATTGCGATATCGACTTCGAGGAGGTTACGGCCTCCAAGGTGGGGGCAGTCAGGATGCCACCCACTTCCAAGCGATACACCAAAGCCCTGCAGAAGGTAAGCAAGGTGCAGCGCATGCTGGACCAGGCCCTGATCCTGCTGGCCGAGGAGGAGGCCAGGTGCCGCGAGCAGGAGCAAGAACCGGGCTCCAAAAAGACCAAGAAGCAGCAGAAGAAGATGGCCAAGAAGGACAAGAAGAAGGCCAAGAAGTTGGCCAAGCAGCAGGACAAGAAACCGGCGGAGGAGCCGGCGGCGGCTGGGGAGGAGCCCTCCAAAAGCTCCAACTCCAGCTCCTCCAGCTCCAACTCGTCCAGTTCCAGCTCCTCCAGTTCGAGCTCCGGCTCCGAGGACGAAGGGGCTTCCTGCCACGGCTACGGCTGGTTCAGCAATCCCTGTCGCCCAGGACCATATGGCCATCACGGTTTCGGTCGCCTTCATGGGCACGGTTTTGGCCACAAGCATGGTCGCAAGCATGGCCACAAGCATGGCCACAAGCATGGTCACGGGCCGCATCATCATGGCCGACATGGACATGGACGCCCTCACCACCACCATCCGCATGGACCCCACTTCGGACCACATTTCGGACCCCACTTTGGACCCCACTTTGGACCCCACTTTGGACCTCCTACCTTTGACTTCGATCGGAGGTCCTTTCGCGGACCTTGCCAGGATCAGTGCCAGTTTTTTCGATGGATGGGCCTGCCGTGGGCCCTGGACAAAGCCGCGGCCTGTCGCAGGAGCCACTCGCTGCCTAGACTATCTCGGCACGACTGTCGTGGAGATCTCGGACTCGGATTCGGACCAGAATACGGATACGGACATGGCCAACCGTGTCGACCACATGGCCGTCGACTAGAGAGATCTCTTTCCAGATCCAGTTCCAGTTCCAGCTCTAGCTCCAGTTCATCCTCGGATGATGAGAAGAAGAGGCAGAAGTGCAAGGGCAAGGGAAAGGGAAAGGGCAAGGAGAAGAGAAGAAGGCAGCGCTCCTCCTCCAGCTCCTCATCGAGCTCCAGCTCCAGTTCGGATGGCGAAGTGCAGAAAAGGCACCACTTCGGGCCTCCACATCGCCATCACTTTGGACCACCACATGGCCACCACTTTGGACCTCCTCATGGCCACCACTTTGGCCCTCCTCATGGCCACCACTTTGGCCCTCACCATGATGGCCACCACTTTGGCCCTCACCATGATGGTCACCGTGGCCACCACTTTGGTCCCCATCATGGCGGAGATCACCATCACCATCACTTCGGCCCTCATCGCGGTCCTTTCCCCGGACAACAAGTCCCCCAATTTGGGGCCTCTGACTATAAAACTAGCTGAAGAAAATCCACTGAAGGACCCGGAGTTTCCTGTCGCCCATCATGGACCACCAGCATCCGAGTTCCCAGGTCCTCGCAGTCGTTCTCACCGTCGTGGTGAGCACAGCCAGCACTAGGAATCCTTCAATACAACCTATACCCACCCATATTACTATACGTGTAAAACCCAGAAACTTCTATATTATTCTATATTCATATTCATTAAAACTGCATATACAACAAAATTAAATAAAAACAAAAATCAAATCAATTTATTCCGCACTTATTATGGATATTTAATATATTTTTTCCCCTTTGGCACAAGTATATTATTTAAGCTCAAATGTAATGCCTATTACTTTCTGTGCTTGGGATTAGCGAACCTAATTATATTATTTAATTAGATTTGACCATTGAGCGAGTGTGAATGCACACGATTCAATTGCATTATAAATGCATCACAACTGATAAGGACATCAGAAACGCAAACAAAGCTGGCAAAAAGGGTCGAAATAAATTAAAGCCCATATTCAATGGGTGGGAAAATACATTTAAACAAATATAGATGGTTGCGGGTGAGTAATTACTCTATTTGTGCGAAGGTGTTTAAGTTAGGTACTTAGGGGCTTATGAACATTACGCATCCGCACCCCGATAAGATGGGTATTCCTGAAGAGGTTTTCCCCCACCCAAATGATGGCGCAATGTCAGCGATAACAAGCTTGATAGGCTTATCTAATTATAGGTCTTCCACCTGATAAAATATTATTGTTTTGGCGCTGCAAACCTTGAAAATGAACTCATTATATTAATTGGCTGGGTATATTATGACAACCTGTGGATGAACCGGACGAAGGATGTTGGCTGAATTTTCTCCTTCAAGTGGGTACATTTTGTGGCTGCAAGTGTTCTCAGCAACGGAGGGGAAATCCTGACTATCACATACCCAGCATTCTGTAAAAAATAACTCTAAATAAATACCACTTTACACTTTACTTGAATAACAACAAAATAAGTGGCCCAACTGCTTATTAAGAAGTATTCCAAATAAGAAAACATAATTTTTCCTTGAGCCAAAGTTTTCCGCGCTCTTAGGCGCTTTTAAGAGAGCCAAATACTGGGAACAGCAGTGGGAACACCATGCGGGTGGGAACACCTTTGCAGTGCCCCAAGCAACTGTCCCCGAACTCCAATTACTGGGTAGGCGGCAAATGGGAACTGCTTTGTCTACGAGAAGAGCTCGTCTGGCAGATGGAAGTGAATTCTAGTGAGTTGGGGGTATGGACCCAGTGGAGCTGTGGGCCAAAGTTGAAGAAACGCCGGGTAGTTGGCCTGCGTGGCTAAAGTGCTGTTTAATAATGGAGCACCGCAGGCCACAAGGCGCTTGAGCCGTAAGTGCTGAACTCCTGAGTGCTGACCTCTGACCGGCCGGCGGACCAGGAAGTGACCTGGGAAGTGCTGGGAAATCGCACCATTTCATTGCCAAAAACGACAACAAACAGGTGGCAACAGGTAAGCGGAAAAGGCAACACAAATCGAAGGGGGGTGTACAATTTCAATGGAAAACTTTATTCGATTTTTGTGACAATGTGACTAACTTTTCTTCGCCTTTTTGTGTTGTTCGTTATTCGTTGTTCGTTGTTATTTTCTTTTGTTTTTTTTTGAGCACTCTGACAATCGAAAAAGTTCATTTGTTTTCACCAGCACCATTTGCACAGTGAAAAATGAAAGAGATTCGCAGAAGTATGTGATATTTCTGCAAAATTGAATTCGTATGTGATATTTATGCGAAATTGAATTTGTATCCTCAAACATAAGCCAAAATGCAGCATGAAACATTATTGTTCAATAGTTCATCGCCATATAGCCAGCACAATAAATTGTTATTAAATAGGAAATCGAGTTGACTGCATTTTCATTTCCCGAAGTCCCTTTCCACCTTCATTGTCACTTGCAGGTCGTTCAATTTCCCAAAACCAAAGACTTGGTTTTGCGGAGGGGCAAAGTCAGAAAAAAATGAGAGAAAAGTGTGGCTTGAATAGCGAAAGGTGCCGGAAGTCGATTTTTGAGCGGAAATAATTTTGCCACATGTTGGCAAAATAAAAAACACCGACGAGGGCAATTCTAAAACAAAGTCACGCGCAGAAAATCTGAGCGAAAGACGGGGAAAATTGAGGCGGGAAACGAAGGATGTGGCGCAAATCCTTCCGCTGTCGTCATTGTCGAAAGCTTAAAATTCAATATAAGCAAAGGACCCACCGCGTCCCTCAACCATTTTGATACTCACACTTCCTGTTTCGCCGCATTTGCGATTTTGCTTTCAGAGGGTCCGTGCACATGCTTTTATGATACATATGTATATATATACATATTTATTTTTTAATAATTTTCCTTATTTCCCTGAAGACAGGTGGAAAAAGCTGAGGGGCTTACTTCTGCGTGTGTCAAACGCAGGGTAAGTAAACTCGTCAGACAGATGAGTCGAATCATTTTTATTTGGCCAAAACTTTCGTTTTCCGCTCACTTTATTTCGGTTTATTTAAACGAGGGACTTGGCTGGGAAACTGCAAAACCCTGTGGATTTCACCGGAAACAATACAGTGATTCTTGTAGGTCTCTTTCGCCTAATAAGTGACAGCCGAAAAGTATGCACCTCGTTGCATTCCAGCTCCACAGCTGCGTGATATCAGGGCAAATAAGCTGAGATGACAGCGTTCCCTCGTTTCTTCGCTTCTTCGCTTCTTCGAATTTTCCGTATTTTCCTTTTATTTTTTTCTTGGCTTTTTTCCGGCACCAGCAGTCTCTGCTAACTGGCAAACAATGGCCACCATAATACTACACAATAGATATTTGTCAGGAGGCAGTGGGTGGCTGGGGATGGTTGGCTGATTTGGTGGCTAGGTGGCTAGGTGCGAATGCAGATACATAGAAAGTTATACGAATGTTACGTGAGCAGAGTGCCGAGCAGTGGAAACTGTAACAATGGGCGGGTGACCCCGACACCTTTCCACCCCATCTTGCCCACCACCTTCCATTCGAATGATAACCCTTAGCCCAGTTGCAACGCATTTCGTATGCAGCTCTTGTCCGGCCAGGCAGCCTTTACGGTTCCGTTTCCAGTTCTGGCCCCCTGAATGTGCCACACCACCCACTACCATTTTTGGGTTCCATTTCCACAAGCCGGGCTAAGCAAACAGCGGCGAAGATGAAGACAGGGCAGCGGGCAGCGGGCGCAGGGTGGAATGACAAAAGTGCAGTTTTGCAAGGCCAACATTGCGTATGCGTGATGTTTGGGAACTTTAATGCACCCGCTAGCTGGGCACTGTAATTAATTTGCAGAATTGTGAGAAGGGCAGACAACGTACAATTAAGTACTTAGACTAAGCTGTTCATTAGTTGATAAAAGGGAAATGTAGTCATAAGCAGTCGTGTTTCTGAAAATTGAAGATCTCGTTAATTGGCAAAATATGAAATAAACATATTAATAATGGGAGAAATTCCAAGGCAACACTGGCTTAAAAGCCCGGTGATTGGAAATTGTGCGGAAAACGAGAAGAACTGCCCGTCGACATGGCAACCAAATGAAATTGTTTAAATGGTATGCAGGCTTGCAGTTAATAAATTATCTGTGTTCTATGTAAATGCAAATAAATACGAGCACCTGTGAATGGGATTTCCATTGAATGGCTCCCCAGGGAAAAAACGGTGAGCACTTCCCAATGATAAATGGTAAGCCATTTTTTATGAATCTGCTTGTAGATAGATATCCGTTTTAGTTGTGTGCTTATTATTAAATCAGTTCCGACCATCGATGGCAATGGCGAAGTGTGGCGGTTGCAGATCTTCTTGAGTGAAATCTGCATACGAGATGTGACAAATTGGACGCTATAAGAGCCAATTATTCCATTTACTTGGCCGCACACCCACTTGCGAAGTGAAATCAAAAAATCTTTATTAAAACATTTTATGCAAATGAATAAATAAGCAAGTGGCGAACAGGAAAAAAGAAGAAAAGTGGCAGCCATGGAAAACACTGAGGGGAAAACTGACTGACAGTCGTCAGAGATGTTTCGTACTCAGACAGGGACGGCGATAGGCGGAGTGAGGGAGATGGCAGCAGCTACGCATTTACATAAATATTACAAGGCTATTACTCGCCGCCCGTGTGCCACGCCCCAACGCCCCAACGCCCCCTTCATAGGCAAATATGCGTGTGTGTGTGCATTACAATAATATGAAAATTATTTGTAATGTAATTTCAACTTAATAAATGTTCATTTTCATATAAGCGACAACTCATTTTACTCCGCAGCAGGTACGTGTGTGCGTGCACTGAGAGAAACCCACGTCTATTTGGCACTTGGAGAAACACGTCGACTTTGAATATGTACACAAATTAGTAGCTTCTTCTATTTTTCGAGTGCCTGAGGAATTACTGAGGGCGAAGTGAGGTGAGAAAAAAGCTGAAGTCCAAAAGAACGACAGGAAGTGAAGTTGTCGAAAGTGAATTTGCATAAACGTATGAAATTTTAATATTTACGACAAATGTTCAAGCACTTCCCACCCGTACACAGACAGACACACACACACACGCACACACAGACGCGCACCGTGCACTCAACTCACGCACACCAGCGCAATCGCAGCATTTTCCTTTTGAGCTGCATACTTGGGGGCGCACACAGAAAAAGTTTTCCCAGCCTACGGCAACTCGTCCGCAGCACCTGAATGTAGAAGCACATGTAGATGACAATGTTGCTTTCCTGCTGCCAAAGTGGGCGCTGAATGGGGGCAGGGGGCGTGGCAGAAATGGGCAGAATGGGAGAAAGGCGGACGGAGGAAGGAGGAGAAAGGCACTCACCGAGTGTAAACTAAATTGAGTTAGCACCGCCGAATTGGGCAACGAGCTCGGAACTTGGCTATGGCCCATTTCGCACCGAGCGGTGTCGCCCCAAATTGCGGGTGTTTCGAATGAAATCTGGGTCGCACCAATATGTTAAATAAGTTGCCAGGCATTCAGTCTAGCTGATTGAAACAATTTTCCATAATAAATAGTAAAACTTTTTAATAGGCGCTTAACATAAATTTGCTATCAGTGTTGGCCCATATTAATTCTAGCCATTTTAGCGGATGGGCAAATCCCCTGATGACATTAAAGTATGCCCAGATTAGCAAACACTTCTGGTTTCAGTGTTCTGTGCCCCCAAATCCTGCACAGAGCTCCAGTTCCCACA